AGCAGCAGCACCAGCGGCCGCACCAGCAGCCCCCCCTACTGCCACTGCCCCCGGTTCCCCCCCCCGTTCGGGTCCCCGCGTCTCACCAGGTTGCTACGTCCCCCCAGGTGTCTGTGTCGTGTCAGGTTCCTCCGTCTGTTCCAGTCGCTGCGTCGTGCTCCTGCCGGTCGCTTGCCCACCCCACCGTTCTGTGGCACCACCGGATGGGGCACCCGTCCCTTCCACGTCTGCGCGCTATGTCTAGTCAGCGTCTTGTCCTAGGCCTCCCACGTGTCTTGCCGTCGCTGCCGCCTTCGCCTGCGCCGCCGTGTCGTCCCTGCGTCGAGGGTAGGCTGCGCGCCACCCCTCACTCCTCCTCCCTTCGTCCGGCCACCGAGCCTTTTGAGACGCTTCACTTGGACGTCTGGGGCCCAGCCCCTCGTCTAGGCCCTGAGCGTGAGCGTTACTTTCTGGTGGTCGTTGACGACTTCTCCCGCTACACCACAGTGTTCCCTCTGGCGAAGAAGTCTGAGGTGACTTCTACGCTGATCAGGTGGTTGCTCACCACCGAGGACACTCGTGGTCGTCGTGTCAGCTGTCTCCACTCCGACCGTGGGGGTGAGTTTCGCTCCGGCATTCTCGCTGGATTCTGTCGCGAGCAGGGCATTCGTCAGTCCTGGACGCTTCCAGAGTCCCCACAGCAGAATGGGGTTGCTGAGCGCCGCATAGGCCTGGTCATGGAGATCGCCCGCACCTCCCTGACTCACGCCTGTGCCCCCCATTTTCTGTGGCCCTACGCGGTCAGGTACGCCGCGCACCAGCTGAACCTCTGGCCACGTGTCTCTCGACCAGAGGTTTCACCGACCAGTCTTTGGACAGGGTTCCCTGGTGTTGCGTCGCGGTTTCGTGTCTGGGGGTGCTTGGCTCTTGTCCGCGACACCTCCGCGGACAAGCTCTCGCCTCGTGCCGTCCCCTGTGTCTTCCTTGGTTTCCCTGAGGACTCCTCTGACTTCACCTTTTACCACCCTCCCTCTCACCGGTTCTTTGACTCCCGTGACGTCCGTTTCGAGGAGTCCACTCCGTACTACGTCAGGTACCCCAGTCGAGGTCTCCCGGTTCCTCCTCCCCCCCTCTTCCTGACTGCCGTTCCCCCTCCTGCTCCCCCGGTACAGCCTCCCCCCCCTGGTCCAGCCCCGTCAGGTGTGTCCCAGGCTACCCCTCCTCCTTCGGTAGCCCCTCCGGTACAGCCTCCCTCCCCACAGTCCTCCTCGCAGCGTGCCGCTGGTGCTAGCTCTCGAGAGGTTGGTGCGACGCCTGTTCCTGTACCGGTTTCTGGTTCTGGGGGTGCTGGAGTTAGAGCTGGAGTTGGAGCTGGAGTTGGAGCTGGAGTTGGCACTGGAGTTTCTGGTTCTGGGGGTGCTGGAGTTGGAGCTGGGGTTGGAGCTGGAGTTTCTGGTTCTGGAGTTGGAGCTGACCAGGTGGGTGCAGAGGACGCTTGTCGTCCGGGAGCTGGTGCTGGCCGCGCGGACACTGGGGGTGCTGCGTCTGGGGGTGAGGGTGCGCCTCCTTTGGGTTCAGGTGAGCCTGGGTCTGGAGCTGGTGTTAGTGCTGCCTCTGGGGGTGGTGAGCCTAGTTCTTCTGGAGTGGACTCTGGAGCTGCCGCTGCTTCGGACACTACTCCGCCCCCCCACCCCTACCCGACTAGGCACCAGGCTCGTGTTCGCCGTGCCCGTGACGATCAGCTGGCGTTGGAGAGAGAGGAGAGGGAGTTACAGCGGCTGGAGGAGCAGCAGCAGCAGCTGGACCCGCAGGAGCAGCAGTCCCAGCAGCAGCCGCGTCCGCAGCAGCAGCAGTCGCAGCCGCAGCAGCAGCAGCCACTTCCTCCTCCTGTCTCGGGTCTTCGGATCCTTGGTCTCCCCTCCCCTTCTCCTCCCTCCTCCGCCTCTCCTCCTGTCTACGGTCCCACGTTTCCTCCTCCTGACTCCTCCCCCGCTGTTTTCCCCAGTTCTCCGCCCTTGTCCTCTTCTCCTCCGTCTCGTTCTTGGGCTACTCGTCGCTCCCCTCGTGCTCGTCCCTCGTCTCCTGTTCCCTTCACTGACCTTCGTACTGCCTTCCTTCTTTCTAGTCCACCTCGTCCGTCTCAGTCTGTGCTTCCGTCTCCTCCTGAGTCGGCCCTCACTGTGTCGCTCCCTACTCCTGTCACTGACTACTACCGCACGTACCGTCCTGTTCTCTCTCGTGTTCTCGCCTCTCTTGTTACTCACCCTCGTGCCTCTGTGTCCTCTGTGTCCGCTCTTACTGCCGCAGTTACTGACTTTGCCTCTACCCGCCGCCTTGACTACGCCACCACGCTTGTGGCTGCTCCTCCTACCAGTCCTCTGGCCGTCGGGGGTGTGTCTGCCCTTGGCCGTGACGCCCTAGAGGACAGGCAGTTTGAGCTAGAGTTCCTGGCGGCCGCTTCCCCTCATCTCTGTGCCATGCTCCTCGCCCCTGAGGGTGACCCCGACGCCCTTGACATTCCGACTCCTCGCACTTACGCTGAGGCAGTGTCAGGGCCTTGGGCCTCTCAGTGGAGAGCTGCCATGGACGCAGAGATGGCCTCCTACAGATCCACAGGCACCTACGTCGATGAGGTTCCCCCCCCGGGGGCGAACGTAGTCGACGGCATGTGGATCTACAGGGTGAAGCGGCCACCGGGATCTCCCCCGGTCTTCAAGGCGCGCTACGTGGCTAGAGGTTTCAGTCAGCGCGAGGGAGTTGACTTCTTTCAGACCTTCGCACCTACCCCGAAGATGACCACTCTTCGGGTGTTACTACATGTAGCAGCACAGAGAGACTACGAGTTACACTCTCTTGACTTCTCCACTGCTTTCCTTCAGGGCAGCCTACACGAGGAGGTCTGGTTGCGTCGTCCCTCGGCCTTCACTGGCACCTTCCCTCCTGGGACCCAGTGGAGGCTGAGGCGACCTGTTTACGGTCTTCGCCAGGCCCCTCGTGAGTGGCACGACACTCTGCGTTCTACCCTCTCTGACCTTGGGTTCCAGCCGTCTTCTGCCGACCCGTCGCTGTTCGTTCGTCGTGGCTCCACACCGTTCTTTGTTCTGGTTTACGTCGACGACCTCGTTTTCGCCACTCCGGACAGGGTTGCTTTGGCAGACGTGAAGTCCGAACTGCAGAAGAGACACACGTGCACTGATCTTGGTGAACTGCGCCACTACCTTGGCCTGCAGATCACCAGGGACAGAGCCGCTCGCACCATTACACTCTCACAGTCACACATGGTGCAGCAGGTCCTTCAGCGGTTCGGGCTTCAGCACTCCACCGTACAGCGCACACCTCTAGCTGTTGACCACAGACTCACTGGTCCCTTTCCTGACGAGCCGTTTGAGCCTAGTGGTCCCTACGCAGAGCTTGTGGGTTGCCTCATGTACCTGATGACTTGTACTCGCCCGGACCTCGCCTTCCCTCTCAGCATCCTTGCGCGCTTTGTTGCGCCAGGGAGACACCGTCCTGTTCACTGGACGGCAGCTGTGAGGGTGGCGAAGTACCTAGCGACTACATCAGGCGTGGGGCTAGTTCTTGGAGGGCAGCAGTCTGTCGTACTCACTGGTCACTGTGACTCCTCTTACGCTGACGACGCTGAGACTCACAGGTCTACTCAGGGGTACTGTTTCAGTCTGGGTTCTGGAGCTGTTTCCTGGCGTTCCACGCGCTCCTCTTCTGTCTCGACCTCTACAGCTGAGGCTGAGATTTACGCTGGTGCCATGGCGGCACAGGAGTTGCGGTGGTTGACCTTCTTGCTCACTGACCTTGGTGAGCGGCCGAGCTCTGCACCGACCTTGTTTACTGACAACAAGGCGTCGATCCTCCTCTGTCGTGAGCCGCGACTGGAGAGCAGAGTGAAGCACATTCACATCAGGTACTTTCTTCTGCGAGAGTTGCAGAGGCGTGGACAGGCTCGCTTCGAGTTCGTAGAGTCCGAGGCCAACACTGCAGACATCTTCACCAAGGCGCTTCCGCCTTGTGACCACCAGAGGTGTTGTGTGCAGTTAGGCCTTGTTGACACAGGTTCTAGTCATGCGTAGACTTGAGTTTATTGCCTGCTTCGTCTGTACATTTACTATATATACTTGTGATCTCTTGGACTGGCCTTGTGGCCACTGTTGCTTGTGCTCAGAGTGTGTGGTGACGTTGTGATCCACCCTGAGCTTTGTTTTCTTTTGGACTGGTCTTGTGACCGTACTCTTTTTGTTTTTGCTAGACACCCCTCACTTAGGCTATGGGGGTGTGTCAAATGTTGTAGCCTGTAGTGAGGTTTGTCTTAGGGGGTACAGAAGTTAGGGTTTGTCATATGTACCCCAACCAACATCAATGCAACACTCATTCCTCATTCTGACAAGCTGCCCGTTCGTTGGACGTGGCAACGGCGAGAGCGCGGCAGGCGGGAGGTGAGGTCTTGGTCCAAGTGACGACTTGGACTTGGTCCAAGTGAGCACTTGGTTCAAGTGACGACTTGCAGGCTCGCGGGCTTGGAAAGATCCAAGCTCTTGACCTTATCCCACTAAGCTACGGGTGCCTTAAATAAAAATCGATATCCCCAGTTCTCTGTTCTCTGTTCCAACATAAATAGCTTCAGTGTAAAGAGATAATCACCATCATAAAAACAATAGTATGTATACACAATCGCATGCAAGCCCTACACTTGGTCTGGACTCTAGAGTTTACGCAGTGCTCTGTGTGTGCGATTGTGCTCAATGGCAGGAAGCAGCCCGTTTTTTAGCACAGCGGCGTGGGCGGCACGGAACCCAACGCCGTACACGGGGGAGGCATCAGTGGCGATGGAGTGCAGGCAGAGCAGCCCTGTGCCTTCATCCTCTGCCGAGCAGTCAACCTATCTGGGCAGCGTTCTGTTTGCGCGAATGTGCTCGATACGGTACTAGGCAGCAGCCCGTGCTTGAGCACAGCAGCATGGGCGGCACAAACAATATCAAGCACAAACACATGCAAGCCCTCCACTTGACCTACACTCTAGGCAGTGCTCTGTATGCGCGAATGTGCTCGAGAGTAGGCAGCAGTCCATGTTTCAGCACAGCAGCATGGGCAGCACGAAACCCATCGCCGTACACGGGGGAGGCATCAGTAGCAATGGAGTGCAGGCAGAACGCTGCAAAGCGCTGCTGGAAGCTGCTGTGCGCCTCGTGAGCTAGTGGAGCAGCGGAGGAGGCTTGTTGTGATGGGGCTTGTGATGGGGCGTGTGGGGCTGGAGGGGCCTGGGTTTGCAACCATAAATACGCCATGACCTGGCACATGCCCTCCTCTAGCTCTGGGGGCAAATGGCGGAAACCCCCTGCAGGTGTGGAAAGATAGGGGAGAGAGGAGAAACAGGAACAATGGCTTTAGAGGCGACTCAGGAGTCAACGGTATGCCACGGCCTGGCACACGCCCTCCTTTAGCTCAAGGGGGGGATGGTGGAAGCACTATGCAGGCGTGGAAAGGCAGGGGAGGTGGGGGACAAAGACATGTGCTCTGAAGCTAGCTCAGTGGGGACGTGGAAAGCATCCCCCAGGTGAAAAGGCAGGGAGGTGGGAATGATGGGGTGCTGTGCGGTGTGATGGAGGGGGAAGAGGGGAGCAAGCTGACCGACGCATGGCATCAGAGAACGACAGAAGAAGTCTGTTACATGCCACTTGAGTCATGGTGGGCATACGGATGGCGCGATGGGGGATGGCATGCGCGATGGGGGATGGCATGCGCAGTGGAGGGGGCACACGTACCGTCGAGCTTGAACCATGCGTGCATGAGCTCGTGCGCTAGGATGGACGCGGTCAGTACTCTGATGGGGAGTGGGAGGGGCAGAGGGGCGGATGAAGGCAGGTGGAGAGAAGAAGCAGGCAGAGGGGTGCTTTTGAGGGTCAAGTGGAGGGGCAGATGCAGACAGAGAGAAACTGGCATTGTGTATTCTGTTGCGGGCATGCCAATCACAGTTGGGCGGCCCATCCAGCATGAGGATGATGGTGACACTATGGTGGCCATGCCATGCTATGCCCTGCCATGCCATTCACACCAGGGCAGCCCATAGAGCACGAGGATAGTAGTGACAGCGCAATGGTGAGGCACCATCATGGTCTGCTGGGCCACAGACAGACAAGTGCCATCCACCACAGCACAGCTACACCAGGCATGCCATGCGCACCAGGCATGCCATGCGCACCAGGCATGCCATGCTCACCAGGCATGCCATGCGCACCAGGCTTGCCATGCGCACCAGGCGTACCATGCGCATCAGGCGTACACACATGCCCACTATTGCTGCCCACCCGTGTAGCCCGTGAGCCCATGGAGCACACCCATCCCATGCCATGCCTACCTGGGCAACCCATAGAGCACGAGGATAGCAGTGACCGCGCAGTGGCGGGACACTGTCATGGTCTGCTGCCCCACTGCCGAGAAGGAGGAGGCGTGGGTGAGTGAGCCGGGCAAACGCACCACCTGATTTCAGCAGGATGGGGCAGGGGAATCAGCAGAAGAGGAGTTTTGAGATGTGTCAATGACAGGCAACGGCAAAACAGGAGGGCAAAAACTACCTGGTTCCACAGAAAGGGGGTGGGTGGGGAACAAAGGAGAATGAACAGAGGGGAAGGGACGAGAAAGCAAGAGAGGGAGGAGTGCATAGAGCGGTGCTGTGCAGTTGCGGAGTGGATGCGGTTGCATTGTAGGAGGGCTGGTTGAAGGGTGGGAAAGGAGGAACCTATGGTGCCTGTAGGCTATGTCTCAAGATCGTCTACACCACAGGTGATGGAACGAGGGGTTAGAGAGAGGCGATGAGGCAACTCACCATCTGAATGGTCTGCTCCTCTGACAGGCAGAGGCCCCGCGTGAGGGACCCGTGCTCATGGCCCTGTCAAGAGGGTGGTGATGGGCAGAGAGAACGGATGGGGAGGCATGGACAGGAGCGGGAGATGACGTGAATGCGGTGAGAATGCTAGTGTGAAAGCAGCTCGTGGGCCTGAGGTGGCGGCGCTAGTGGTATCTGCTGCTTCACTGTCATTTCCTGTTGTGCCACAGATCCAAGCAACTCGAATCGGATCGACCACCCTGTGCAGTCGGGGGCACCTCCAGCTCGATAGACCATCACACCCACTCACCTCCCTTTCCGCCCTCTGAGCCTCATTCAGCGCCGGCTGCTCCACTGCCATCACCGGATGTGCTGTCTCACTGGCATCCCCTGTTGTGCCAGAGCCCATGTTCCCAGCTGTGCATTTTCAAGCCCGATGTACCATCAGCCGTCCCCCTCACCTCCCTCTTCACCTCCCTCTCACCCGCTCACCTCCCTTAAAGCCCTCTGAGCATCGTACAGCACCTGCTGCTCCACTGCCAGCACCGGATTCTGCTGCCTCACTGGCATCCCCTGATGTGCTAGAAAGCATATATTCACCTGTGCGTCACACGCCGGATTTACCATCACACCCACGCACCTCCCTCTCTGCCCTCTGTGCGTCATTCAATGCCTGCTGCTCCACTGCCAGCACCGGAATCTGCTGCCTCACTGGCATCCCCAGCTGAGCAAAGAAGGCACTAACGGACGAAAAAAGCGGGCGGCAGTCTGCGGAGTCTAGCACGGCGGAGTCAACGCAGTCAAGGCAGAGGTGCCGCCCATCTGGCAGATCAATAAATGGGGGGGAACCGCGGGACTGCAAGCCAAGCCAAGGTAAGCAGCAGGGAAGCAGGACGAGGAGAAGGGAAGAGGGAATGCAATTCTGAGTTGACTCAAACACTGCCTGTCTGGCAGGCCTATGAAGGGGGGGAAAGTGCAGGACTGCAAGCCAAGGGGAGCAGCAGGGAGGTAGGACGAGGAGGAGGGTAAAGACGAGGTAGTGCACTGGAGCAGGCTTCAAAACCTCTCAAGACACAACTGAGGGGTGCAAAGAGCGTGAAGTTAGGGGTGTGAAGTGATGTAGGAGAACATACAAGGGCAGGTGGAACAGGGGAGGGGTGGCGCTGGGGCAGGCAGAACAGAAGCAGCAACTGCGCAGTCTCAGTACCACACCCTCACCTGCAGGCGGGAGCAGGAGGTGCAGGAGGGCGTGCTGTCAGTCATTTGGGCGGGTCGATGCAACCAGTGCAGCTCTTGTCACCCTCTCACACACACTCACACGCATGCAGCACAGCTGAGAGCAACCCATGCTATATCAGCCTCAACGCATTGCCCTCACCTGCAGGCGGGAGCAGGAGGTGCAGGAGGGCGTGCTGTCAGTCATGTGGGCGGGGCACCACTTGTCGCCCCAGAAGGGGTGCGAGCGGAAGTTGATCATGCCTGCTGGGTTAGGGCGGATCTGGAGGGGCGGGTTGAAAGAGAGAAGGAGGGGAAGAGGTTGGGGGGAGGGGAAGGATGGGATATATATGATATCGAGAGCTGAGAATAAAGAGGGCTTTTGTGTGGATTCTGATAGGCGGAATGGAAGCACGCATTGCAAGGTGGCTCTCAATTGGCACGCATTGCAAGGTGGCTCTCAATTGGCACGCATTGCAAGGTGGCTCTCAATTGGCACGCATTGCAAGGTGGCTCTCAATTGGCACGCATTGCAAGGTGGCTCTCAATTGGCCCGCATTGCAAGGTGGCTCTCAATTGGCACGCATTGCAAGGTGGCTCTCAATTGGCACGCATTGCAAGGTAGCTCTCAATTGGCACGCATTGCAAGGTGGCTCTCAATTGGCACGCATTGCAAGGTGGCTCTCAATTGGCACGCATTGCAAGGTGGCTCTCAATTGGCACGCATTGCAAGGTGGCTCTCAATTGGCACGCATTGCAAGGTGGCTCTCAATTGGCACGCATTGCAAGGTGGCTCTCAATTGGCCCGCATTGCAAGGTGGCTCTCAATTGGCTTGGCTGCTCCCTTGACGTGCTTCGTAACCGGGAAGCAACGGGTGGGAGCATCTACTCACGAAGTCCTGGCAGACGGTGCACTTGGGGTGGAAGAGCTGTCGGTGGCATGCTGCATGGTATGGCTTGCCGTCCTTGATGTTGAACTGGTGGAGGGGGGAGAGAAGAGCAAGGAGAGACGAAACAAGGTGTGATGGATGGTGTGATGGCATGAAGGCATGCTGCATGGTAGGGCTTGCCTTGGGGGTGGATAGCGAGAAGAAGGGAGGAGGAATTAACACAAGGGAGGGGGCGATGACGACATGATGGCATGATGCCATGGCGTGCTGCCGTGGAGAGGCATGTGTGTACCAGCCAAGGCAGAATGCATCTATACCTCATCTCCCCCACAACACACACGGCTAAAACCTTTTGCGACATACTTGTTTCTCTGAGATGGTCTGCTTGCACGCGTGGCATGTGAAGCAGTGCGGGTGCCACAACCCCCCCATGGACGAGAGGGCCGGGGAGAAGCCCAAGGGCCCATTGCACCCCGCACACACGGCCGGCACCAGCGCCGACCACACAGGGTGCTGCTGCCCTCCGCCCGCTGCCCTCCCTGCTCCCGCGCTTCCCACCCCACCGCTGCTGCTGCTGCTGCTGTTGTTGCTGCCAACAGGAGGTGCTGAAGGCAAATGCGAGAGCCCGCCCTGGGAAACCGGGAGGGATGGGTGAGGTGAGGGGAGGGAAAGGGCCGTGGGCAGATAAGTTGGAGCAGGTAAGTGTGGGGCCAAGGGGTCATCACTTCTCCCGTTGGACCTCTCATCCTCCTCACATCGTGGTCTTCACAATTCATCTCTTTCCAATTTCACAACCCTCGTTTCCCTCGCCTCCTCCAGCCTCACCTCCCCCAGCCTCACCTCCCCCAGCCTCACCTCTTCGAGGCTCAGCTCCTGCTGCAGCAACCGCGCAATCTCCTTGTCGTTGCTCGTGTCTGGCGCCCCCTCACCACCCCCACCCCCACCTCGCCCCACTCCGCCTGGCCCTGCGTTGCCCTGTCCCGCTCCACCCATGCCCACATGCCGAGAACTGCCCGCACCACCTGCTGCTCCTCCTGCTCCTGCTCCAGTTCCTACTCTTGCTGCTGCTGTGGCTGACCAGTGACGATTCATGGCTTCTCGTTGCGCTGCCGCCGCAGCTGCAGCTGCAGCAACTGTTGCAGGTGTCCTGCCAGCACCCTGGCCTCCTCTAATGGCTGGGAAAGCATGGCAAGAGACGGAGGGAGGGAAGGGATCAGCACATGCAGGCAATCCGTCTGTGACATGCGTAGCCAGCCAGTGCCAGAGACAGGTCGACACACAAACCAGCACACGGGTTGACACACACGGATGGACGCACATACACTTACCTTGAGCTGCCTCCTCTGCCTCTCGTCTCGAAATCTCCAACGCTAGTTGAAGGGCCCTGTCCTCCTCCTCCGCCTCCCCACCCCTCTGAACCGCCTCCCCCCTCCCCACTGCCTCCCCTCTCCCTGTATTCCCGCCCCATCCTGCACCCTGCTGCTCTGGTTGACTGCTCCTTCCTGGAGGCCAGCCCCCCTGCTGCTGGTGTCTCGGAGCCTGTTGGTGGTGGTTTGGCACTTGATGCTGCTGTTGGCTCGGGACTTGATGCTGGTGGTTCGGAACTTGATGCTGTTGGCTCGGCACCCATGGCTGATGGCTCGGCACGTGCTGCTGCTCCTGGTAAACCAGGCCAAGGTTGCGTTGAGAGGGAAGCGAGACGGATAGGGCAGAGCGGGAGATTGGAGATGATTGATAAGTCGATAACACGCGTGAGTAGCAGAAAAACGCAGGGTGAATGAGTGGGGCATGTGAGATGGGATCTGTGTTACACACCTGCAAGGAGAGCCTGAGTGCCTCTTCCAGCTGCCGCTGCTCCTCCTCCCTCAACTGCTGCTCCCTCTGCTGCTGCTGCATCGCTGGGTGGTGACTCGCCAAGGCTGGGGGCTGCGACAGATATGGGGATGAAGAGATGAAAAGAAGGGGAGGCGATGGACAGTAAGGAGATGTGGGGTGGTATGACAGGTAAGCTCATCGTCTCATTACTAAACGTTCATCACCATCATACTAATGTTCAGCACCTTATCTCTCAACGTTGTAAGAAATTGGTTAGACACATTGAAGCGTACCACTTGGTGCAGAGACTGCGTCGAGCTGCTGCTGCGATTAGGCTCGTCTGAACCGCCGGCTACAGCCCTGCATGGACCAGGCGTGAGAAGCGACAGGCTCAGACAAGGAAGCATATACCACCTCCTATGCGTTTCATATGCATAGGAAACGCATAATTGTACTACGAAGGGATAACTTCAACACATCCGTCCAATAAACGTGCTACTTGAAACAGAGGAATCGGCAGCAGCAGCAGCAACAGCGGCTAGACGTGGTGGTGGCAAAGGCAGCGGAGATGAGACGAGAGCGTGTGCGTGCAAGTAAGGCGAGCGCATGCCCCAGTGAAACGAGAAAAGATAAGGCTAGGCGTTAGGTAAGGGTGAGACTAGCAGCGGTACACAGCATAAGACGCGACAGCGCAAGAAACGGAGGGGAAGAGCTGTCAGCGGAGGAACCAGCAGCGGAGGAAACGGCAGCGGAACCTCTTGCTGGAGCCGACCAGGTGATAGGGGAGGGTTCAGACGGACAACGCGTGACGCTCCAAGAAGCGAGACGCAGAGAATTTGGTCGGATATTTCCGTGACTAGGACAGCGACCTAAAGATGGACGATGATCCTAGCGGAAACCGAAAAGGGTTACCTGCGAAACCATGACGTCACGTTCCCGACGACGTTATCCATTCAGGCCCAGAGTTAGAAAAGAATCTACAATTATTGCTCCTTAAAGCGGTAAGCGGCTAGCGACGAGTGTTGTGGCAAAGTGGAGTTCGGACGCCCTAATACGATCCTTGCCGTCGCATGCTATATCAAGTAAGTCAAGGGGTCACCCCCATGTGCTCTAGGTCGAAAACTACCATCCTAATTCTTCGTCCGTCTGCCGAATATATGCTGCAGAGCTCAGATTTAGGTGTGGAGAGTGAAATATAGGTGGACACGGCACCCAGAAGCTATGGGGAAATTGGTACTTGCTGCCTGGCAGCTGCCGTTGCGGGATGTTCTGGAACTGGAGGGCCTTCGGGAGTCTCGAGGACCTGTGAAGCCACGCTCGTGTCGGTGTGTTCCTGTGAAGCTGCAAAAGTTGCGGTGGACTCCGTGAGTATGCGTGTCGTGAATTTGATCACGAACGGGACACTCTTAGGGCGTATTCTCGCACTTCGGGTCATCAGCACTTCGGGTCATCCGAAATTGTGGGATCCAATCGGAAAATCGGAATGCACCCCAATCTCTTGATTCCAAATTTCCGATTGGATCCCACAATTTCGGATGGCCCGAAGTGCTGATGACCCGAAGTGCAGGAATACGCCCTTATCCTGGTTGTTGGCCCAGATACGTTATTGAATATTCTTATACAGTTTCTGGCACAGCTGGACAGCAATAGAAACGACGATTTCAGCGTTATTTGTATCTAATTTAGCATATTCAAATGCTGGGCACTTATTCTTGGATTCATGACGCCTAACATACACAGCATCAGACCTACGCTATCACACGGGTCAACAAAATCGTAGAAGAAGACTCGGCCTTCAACTCTTTGCAGCTCTATTCCGCCTTGACTTTCCTTTGAGCCGGCGCCTTGTGCATCTCCCTGCCAATCTTCTTAAGCACCTCGTCTATCAAGATGACCGGGAGCGACGTCACGAGCACGAGCAGCCACTCATTGAAGCTCAGCGGCACGATCCCAAACACGTTAGCGAGGAACGGCACATAGAGGATGAGAAAGTGCAGCGAGAAGGAGAGGGTCATCGCCACGAGCAGCCAGGGATTCACCCACGGAGGCATCCTCGTCAGACTCACATCCTCTGACAGCGCATTCAGCGAGTTAAACATCTCAATCGCCACCAGCACCGACAGCGACAGCGTCGTCGCCTTCACCTTGCCCGACTCGAAATAGTCACACGGGTCGTGATTAAAAGAGAAGGTCTGCGCGCCGGCGGTGAAGGGCGCGGCGGAGAAGTCTTGCCAGGAGCGGCACTGGTCCCAGTGGCGCAGCTGGTGTAAGGAGACCAGCGAGTGGCCGTCCTGAGAGAGGTCGATGCCGAGGAAGGAGGAGTGCGTGTACCAGATGGCGAATACTCCCACTGTTGCGATTCCCACGTACATGCCTATGATCTGCATGGCAAGGGGAAACGAGGGGTAACATGGAGGGCATAGTGAGAGGTTTGAGAGGTCGATGCCGAGGAAGGAGGAGTGCGTGTACCAGATGGCGAATACTCCCACTGTTGCGATTCCCACGTACATGCCTATGATCTGCATGGCAAGGGGAAACGAGGGGTAACATGGAGGGCATAGTGAGAGGTTTGAGAGGTCGATGCCGAGGAAGGAGGAGTGCGTGTACCAGATGGCGAATACTCCCACCGTTGTGATGCCCACGCACATGCCTATGATCTGCATGGCTGGGAGTGAAGAAGGGGAGCATGGACGAGGGAGTGGGGAGAGGCGACGCAGAGGACAATGTTGCACACACTTGCTACTTACCTTACAGCAAAATGCATGCACCACACATTGCAGCAGCCCAAACCCACTACCGCCCCCCTACCATCCACCCACCACATACGTACCACAGCAGCACAACCCCATAACCACCACCCCCCCCCTCCCATGCACTCACCACATATCGCAGCAGCACCCAGGCGGTGACCAGAGCATCATCGCTCCTGCGGGGCTGCTGCCGCATCACATTCTCATCGGGCGGGTTGAACCCCAGTGCTGTGGCAGGCGGTCCGTCCGTGACGAGGTTGACCCACAGCAGCTGCACGGGAATGAGGTTCTCTGGCAGGCCCAGGGCGGCAGTGAGGAAGATGGATGCCACCTCGCCCATGTTGCTCGATATCATGTAGCTGTGAGGGAATGGGGGGGGAGGCGGGGGGGGCGGGGAGGGGGGAGAGGAGAGGAAAGAGCAGGGGATACAGTGCATGAGATAGTGTGTGACGAGGTTGACCCACAGCAGTTGCACCGGAATCAGATTCTCAGGTAGACTGAGGGCGGCAGTGAGGAAGATGGATGCCACGTCGCCCATGTTGCTCGATATCATGTAGCTGTGAGGCATTGAAACGGGAGGGAGAGGTGGGAGGGGGAGAAGACGAGCTGGGTTTAGAGTGCATGAGATTGTGCGTGACCAGGCTGACCCACAACAGAATCAGGATCTCAAGCGTGGTGGCAGACATGATGGTGCCTGGGAGGAAGATGAGCAGCGCCTCACCCAGCCCAACTATGTTGACGTGACTTTTGAGAATTCTCAAAACTCAAGCGTGGTGGCAGACATGATGGTGGCTGGGAGGAAGATGAGCAGCGCCTCACCCAACCCAAGTAGCTCGAAATGATGGAGCGGAGAAGCTAAGAAGCGGTGTGTTGGGGAGACACTTGAATGGTGACGCGGCCATGTTCAGATGGCATCGGGCTGTGTGTCACAGACAGTGATTCACACGCATGAGCGTCCTCACTGGATGCCTGCGTGTTTGAAGAAGTGTTTTGAGACGTCTCAAAACACTTCTTCAAACACGTGATTCACACGCATGAGCGTCCTCACTGGATGCCTGCGCTCACCGGATGAATGCCTTCATGTTGTTGTAGATGGACCGCCCCTCCGCCACTGCAGCCACGATGGTGCTGAAGTTGTCGTCCGCCAGTACCATATCTGATGCCTCCTTCGCCACCTGAGGATGGGGTATGGCGGGTGGGGGAGCTCAGATGAATGGAGCCACTGCAGCCACGATGGTGCTAAAAGTTGTCGTCCGCCAGGACCATGTCCGACGCCTGCTTTGCCACCTGCAGGTGCATGGAAAGGGGGTGTAGAAAGAAGGTAGGTAGGTCGGACCATCGACGAGTGAAAGCAGCCACGATGGTGCTGAAAATGTCATACGCAAGGGCCATGTCCGATGCCTGCTTCGCCACCTGCAGGGGATGGGAAGTGGGCGTAGGAAGAGGGTAGGTAAGTCGGACCAACAGCGCGTCAACGCATGCAGCCACGATGGTCCGCAAGGGCCATGTCCGATGCCTGCTTCGCCACCTCAAGGAGGAGCGGGTCAGCGGAGGGTAAGAAGGACGAGAGGGTTTAACAGACGAGGGTCCAAGCGAGTGCGGGTGTAAGGTGCAGGTTTTAGGTGCATGTTTGAGGTGCAGGTTTGAGGTGCAGGTTTGAGGTGCAGGTTTGAGGTGCAGGTTTGAGGTGCAGGTTTTAGGTGCAGATTTAAGGTGCAGGTTTGAGGTGCAGGTTTGAGGTGCAATGCCCACCTCAGTTCCTGCAATGCCCATGGCAATGCCAATATCAGCCAGCTTGAGAACAGGGGTGTCGCTCACCCCATCGCCTGGCATGACTCTCTTTGTCGACTCAAAATCCAGTATCACCCACCTCAGTGCCGGCGATGCCCATGGCAATGCCGATATCCGCCAGCTTGAGCGCAGGGGCGTCGTTCACCCCATCCCCCGTCATGGCCACCACCTCGCCCTGCTCCTTGAGCATGCGCACTATCTCCTGCTTGTGCCTCGGCTCCGCACGGGAAAACACCTTGCCACCAGGCACCTGCAGGGAACGAGAACACCCAACGGGATGGGGGAACAGTCGTGTAAATATCAGGGGTATCTCTAACAGAGGCACCACTAGTAACCACCACCACCTCGCCCTGCTCTGCTCCTTGAGCATGCGCACTATCTCCCGCTTGTGCCGCGGCTCCACACGCAAGAACACCTTCCCCCCAGGATTTGAAGGGAACGAAAAGGTTTTTGAGGATTCTCAAACACCAGAACACCTTGCCCCCAGGCACCTGCAGGGAACGGAAACACACAAGGGATGTAACAAGTTTGAGAAAAACAGGGGGTGAATCATCATTACCGTTACCCCTATATGCCAGTTGGCGATGCATACCAGCACAATCAACCTCTAGAGAAATGCCCCACCCATCCGTACCTTAAGAATCTCCATCCTGGTGGCAGCAGGCAAATCCATGAAGTCCTTGCCCGTGAAGCTGCAACAGCTGAGATCGTCCGATGGGCCCAGCACGCCGATCTCACGGCAGATAGCCTCCGCTGTGTTCTTGTTGTCGCCTGTTATCACCATCACTCTTATGCCCGCCGCCCGGCAATCCTCCACTGCTGCCGGCACTTCTTCTCTAGGTGGGTCCTGCGGGATGGAAGACAGGAGCAAGGAAATGTCCCTCTTAGATCCTCCCATCAATTTTTCTGTCCAGCAACAAGTGATGGCATGCCAGCACAGCATCAGTCCAGTACACAGAGCCTCACTCCCACTCACCCTCATACACTCACCCTCATCCCTGCACTCACCCTCATCCCTGCACTCACCCTCATCCCTGCACTCACCCTCATCCCTGCACTCACCCTCATCCCTGCACTCACCCTCATCCCTGCACTCACCCTCATCCCTGCACTCACCCTCATCCCTGCACTCACCCTCATCCCTGCACTCACCCTCATCCCTGCACTCACCCTCATCCCTGCACTCACCCTCATCCCTGCACTCACCCTCATCCCTGCACTCACCCTCATCCCTGCACTCACCCTCATCCCTGCACTCACCCTCATCCCTGCACTCACCCTCATCCCTGCACTCACCCTCATCCCTGCACTCACCCTCATCCCTGCACTCACCCTCATCCCTGCACTCACCCTCATCCCTGCACTCACCCTCATCCCTGCACTCACCCTCATCCCTGCACTCACCCTCATCCCTGCACTCACCCTCATCCCTGCACTCACCCTCATCCCTGCACTCACCCTCATCCCTGCACTCACCCTCATCCCTGCACTCACCCTCATCCCTGCACTCACCCTCATCCCTGCACTCACCCTCATCCCTGCACTCACCCTCATCCCTGCACTCACCCTCATCCCTGCACTCACCCTCATCCCTGCACTCACCCTCATCCCTGCACTCACCCTCATCCCTGCACTCACCCTCATCCCTGCACTCACCCTCATCCCTGCACTCACCCTCATCCCTGCACTCACCCTCATCCCTGCACTCACCCTCATCCCTGCACTCACCCTCATCCCTGCACTCACCCTCATCCCTGCACTCACCCTCATCCCTGCACTCACCCTCATCCCTGCACTCACCCTCATCCCTGCACTCACCCTCATCCCTGCACTCACCCTCATCCCTGCACTCACCCTCGTCCCTGCACTCACCCTCATCCCTGCACTCACCCGGAGTCCCACCATCCCGCAAAACACCAGACCCTGCTCGATCCGCTCGTAATTCCCCGGATCCAGCAGCACCTTGTGCCCCTCATGCTGCTCCCCGCTGTACCCCTGCAGTGCCCCCATCGCCTGCCCCTCCTTGAACGCGAACGCCAGGCACCGGAGGGCCTTGGAGGCCATGTCGGTCAGGACGGCCTCTGTGGCTCTGCGGCCCTCGGAAGTGAGCGGCACTATGGAGCCGTCCGCTAGTTGGATGGATGTGCAGCGCTCCAACACTGATTCCACCGCTCCCTGTGGACAGGCAGATGGGGAGGGGGAGAGGAGGGCACACCAATGGACATGGTTTTCAGGGCTCCGAGGTGAGCGGGACTATGGAGCCATCTGCGAGTTGGATGGATGTGCAGCGCTCCAACACTGATTCCACTGCTCCCTGTGGATAGGGAGGCATGTAGAGGGGGCACAGAGAGACAAGGAGGGACAACACTGCCTCGTTGGTTGGTTGGTTGGTTGGTTGGTTGGTTCGTTCGTTCGTTCGTTGGTTCGTTGGTGGCTATGGGCAAACTCCAGCACCGCCTTCCCCTCCCACGGCCGACTGTATGCATTCATTATAGCTGCATTGAGTCAAGATTCCTAACGCCAATGCTCACCTTCACAAGTAGGCGAGTCTTCCCTTGGCTGCTCCTCACAATCACACTCATGGACTTGCGGCTCCGATCAAACTCTAGCACCGCCTTCCTCTCCCACTGCTTGCCCCACCACTCGTTGGCGTCTGCCATGGGACAAGGCAGGAGGGATGAGGCGAGTCGTAGTGAAAGGAGAGATGGGTGATGGCAGTGGGAGAGAAAACACAGAGGGATGGGATGGGATGATGGTTGGGTAAATTCCCCAGCACCGCCTTCCTCTCCCACTGCCTGCCCCACCAATCGTTGGCGTCTGCCATGGGACGAGTCAGGAGTAAGGGAAGGGATAGATGGGTGATGGAAGTGGGAGAGAAGAAGCCATGGGATGAGGCAGGAGTAAGGGGAGAGATGGGTGATGGAAGTGGGAGAGAAGAAGCCATGCGATGATGGTTCCGGCTGGGTCAGCGCCACCCCACAATGCACGCTCACTCCTAACACGTGACCAGCAGGCATGCTCTCTGCGCGTGTAGCTCTTGAGAATTCTCAAAAGCCATGCGATGATGGTTCCGGCTGGGTCAGCGCCACCCACGAGGCGCGCTCACTCCTAACACGTGACCAGGACGCATGCTCTCTGCGCGTGCAGCTCTCTCACCTTGCAAGTGTGACGCAGGCGCGCCCTTCCGCTTATTCCGGATGCTCAGCTGCAGCGTGTCATCCGGCACACCAATCTTCTCCACCAGCACTCGCAGCGCCGCCTCTGTGGGCAGCCCCGACGCCCTGTACGCGCCTCCCTTGAGTGATATGCTCGCGTCGTTGCACAGGACAGCTGCTTGTGTGAGAGATTGCGTGTTGGGAAAGGTGACTGAGCGCCCCCAGTTGAGGATTTCCCCGTCGGCTGGATTGTAGGAGGTTCCGTCGACGGCGAAGGAGAGGAAGGTGGAGGGGAGCGTGCCTGGGAGGACCAGGGCGGACACTGCCATCTGATGGGATGAGTGGGTTAAGCAGATGGGAAGGCAGAGGTAAGCCAAACACCCGGTTAATGATTTCCCAGCTGCCAGGTTCCGTCGACGGCAAAGGAGAGGAAGATGGAGGGGAGCGTGCTGGGAGGACCAGGGTTGACACAGCCATCTGATGGGGGTTGGGGAAGGTCATATGGGAGTTAAGACGGTGGGAAGACGAGGTAAGAAGATCTTTTATACTTGGACTATGGAGCTCAAAGATTCTTGATGGCTTCTATCCAAACAAACAGCTAGTCAGATCTGTTTTGGAGAAGGCATTCCATTCAAACGTCTGGCCATCCTCGTTATAAGCCTCACCTGGTTAGTGGTGAGTGTGCCAGTCTTATCGGAGCAGATCACAGTGGTACAACCCAGCGTCTCCACAGAAGGAAGCTTCCTCACAATCGCATTCTTCTGCGCCATCTTCCTCGTACCCAGAGCCAGGCAAGTGGTAATCACCGCAGGCAGCCCCTCGGGAATCGCCGCCACCGCCAGCGCCACCGCAATCTTAAAATAGTAAGTGCACTTCTGGAAAGAAAAGGAAAATCTCAGCCCCCCTGTCCACCAGGCGGCCGGATCTTCCTTCCAGGAGAGGAAGAACTTGTAGTTGATGAGCCAGACGAGCAGGCAGATCACCCCGATGACTGTGGTCAGCCGCTCTCCGAATTCATCTAGTTTTTTCTTCAGGGGTGTGTCGTCCTCTTCGGCTGCTGCTGCTGCGATCTGCTGCTGAATCTTGCCGATTTCTGTGTTCATGCCTGTCGCAATGACCAGGTTGCGGCTGGAGCCGTTGACCACTGTGGTGCCCGCGAACACCATGCTCTCCTTGGCCTGGCGGGATGGGAGGGTGAACAAAAGCGAGGTGTACGGGAAAGTGTAAGATTGGGCATGTTGTGAGCCAACCCAGACACGCGTGTTCACGCCCGTGACCACTGTGGTGCCCGCGAACACCATGCTCTTCTTGACCTGGCAAGGGGGGGGAGGAGAGAATCGGGGATGTGCATGGTGTGAGACTAGGTACGAGGGAGCAGGAATGAGGTGCACGCACATGTGCCCTTGGTGATCCCTGTGGTAAAGGCCAACATCATGGTCTCCCTTTTCGGACTCACTTGCTCTCTAAGGCTCATAGTCCTGCTGCTTACATACCACGAACCCTTCAATAGCCATGTGATAGAAGTTGAGTTTTGAGACGTCTCAAAACTCAACTTTTATCACGTGCTGCTTACCTAACGAACCCTTAACCTAGCTAATGACCCCTTGACCGAGTCATTGCTCTCTTGGCTGAGTCATTGCTCTCTTGGCCGAGTCATTGCTCTCTTGACCGAGTCATTGCTCTCTTGATCGAGTCATTGCTCTCTTGACCGAGTCATTGCTCTCTTGGCCGAGTCATTGCTCTCTTGGCGGAGTTGAGCTAGTGCATTGACAAGGTCCTTTCCACTCCTTTCTCCCCTCTGCCAGCACACAGAATCCCCCTCCATCAGCTCACAGCCTAAACCACATCCCTGCGCTCGCCCTCACCTGCAGCTCGCAGTCCTGCTGCTGAACCTCATCTGCTGACTTCTGTGCTTGCATTAGCTTTGAATATCTTAAAGGTGATACCGCTGCTGCATAGACCCCTTTTCTCCTCACCTGCAGCTCGCAGTCATGCTACTGAACCTCATTTACCGACTTCTGTGCTTGTTTCACTTTGATAAGCTTAGGCTGTATACCCCCCCTTCGCCCTCACCTGCAGCTCACAGTCCGCCTGCTGAACCTCATTCGCCGACTTCTGCACGGCCATGCTCTCGCCCGTCAGCGACGCCTGCTCCAGCCTCAGCGTGGAAGTGAGGAGGCTTATAACGCGCATGTCTGCGGGCACCTTGTCCCCCACCCGCAGCTCCACTATATCGCCCGGTACTAGCTCCCGCGCTGGCAGATCGTCCATGTGCTCGCCCGCCCTCACCACCTTGGCTGTCTCGGACTGAGAGGAGGGGGGCAGGGGAATTGGGAACGATGTAAGGGTTGAAAAGGGTTGAGCAGGGTCGAACAGGGTTGAAAAGGCTGACTCATCGCAGCTCCACTATATCGCCCGGTACCAATTCCCGAGCTGGCAGGTCGTCCATGTGCTCGCCCGCCCTCACCACCTTGGCTGTCTCGGACTGGGAGGGAGAAGCCAGGGGGATGGGAAAGGATGGGAAGGGTGGAAAACAGAGCGGCTTGACTGAATATCTACGCGCTGTCATGCTTCCCTGTTGCCCCACCACCTCAGCTGCCTCGGGCTGAGGATAAGGGGATGGAAGCAAGAAGAAGAGGGTAAGATAGACAAAAAAACAGATGGATGAGACGAGGGTTAGCCTAAACCCAGAACCGTCCAGGATTGAACCACCTTCAAACTCAGGGTTTACCGCAGCGTGCTTGTGGTAATATCGACCATACAGTTATAAGGCGCATGTCGTAGACTATCTACCTGCATGTCTTTAAGAGCCTCTAGCGCGCGCTCGGCGTTGCTCTCCTGCCACACGCCCACGCAGGCGTTGAGCACGAGAATGAGCAGAATGACCAGCGGCTCCACATACGCCGTTATCCCGCCGTCCTCCTGAGAATTGACATGAAAAATCGCGCAGGCAGGGAAGGACGCAAGAGAAGGAAGCAGCGGGGGATGCAGGTCAAAAAGAAAGAAAAACGCGAGGACAGATACCGTAGCAAGAGGCTTGAATGGAGGCCAAGGGACAACAGCAGGTAGAGAACGCGTTGAGAACTGAAATTCTCTCACTCCACAACTCGACGGCCGAAAGCTGGGAGAGGACAGAACCGTGAGAGACACAGGGTAAGGCCGAGGGGAGCACGGAAGGAGGGATGCACGGAGCAACGGACAGCACAAGAGCATGGAACGTCAGCAACGACCAGAAGACGGAAACTCGGCAAAATTCCCGCGAAAGAGAACCAACGGGGTGTCGGTCCGTAGAGCTACGGACGGGTCGCGTGAAGTGAGATTGGACCCGCAAAGGACGAAGCCGATCTGATCGCAATCAGATGACACATCCAGTCCGCTCGGCCGACTATGTCTGTTTCAAGAGTTGGAGCATACTCAATCCTCGCGACTGCTTGTCCGCGTAAGCAATCAAATCGGGTTTTTCAAAACAGGAGAATTGAAACGCAATGAATGGATTATCCGCTCACCTGGTCGTCCATGTAGGCGAGGACGAACGAGACGGCAGCAGCGGCGAGAAGAATCTTCACGTCGTTGAACTGATCCACAGCCAGCTTCCAGAACCGCGTGCGCTCCTTCTCCTACTCGTTGAAACACAATGAATGCTTTATCCGCTCACCTGCTCGTCCACGTAGGCGAGGACAAATGACACGGCAGCAGCGGCGAGAAGGATCTTCACGAGCGTGTCGTTAAACTGATCTACAACCAGCTTCCAAAACGGAGTGCCCGGTTCCTTCTCCAGCTCGTTGAAGCCGAATCGGCTCCGTCGCCACGCGACATCCTGGGGATCTAGACCCTTGTCTGCATCCACCTGGTACCGATCTAAACACTCCTGCACCGAATGCGACCACGCCGGGAACGTGCTTTCGGGTATGGATCCCAGATTAGACGACATCGTTAACGCGCAGGAGCGAGAACGAACGGTGTGGATCGGCCGTGAAGATGTGATCGCGCAAACGCAGACAGCAATCTGGCCGGCCACGCGAACTCGTCAACTATCAGGTAAATCACGCCGTCACACTACGGCCTGCGACGTACCTCACGCGCTGTACCGTGATCCTGTTCTCACTCACACTGGAACTGACACCATCTCAGCTCCTTTTTTGCTTCACGCAAGCAGCCTTGGGAATTGAGGAATCGACTGCCACAAGCACGCAACAGTCGAATTCCTCCAAGCCAGGCGGTGATCCGATCGGCGCGGGTGCAAGGAAGGTGGCTTTCTCGCCCAGCTGGAATACGAACAAGCCTCTTGGGAGTTACGTTTCAGATTCTGACATGGACGTCCCAGATTTGTTGGAAGAGTCGCGGGGGAACAGATCACGAAAGGAGCCAGTTGCGTGTTACACTATCCTCTTTAATGGCTTGTGAGCTGAAGAAACACATATTGCACTTAATCCTAGATTCACATTAAATCTGAAACAATATTTCGCTCCTCACACCATGAAGTAAAATGGCGCATCATACCATATGTGGTTTGAGCTATGTGCTGCGATCAGAAGTTGATCGCTCCTAGGATCTCCTCGGGAAGGTTCGCACACAGCTAGGTAGTGTTGGTGGGCCCTTGACCTCAATAGCAGAGTGGGTGTAAAATGCTTGAGATAATAAAAACATGCAAATACAAAGTTATAAATATGAGTACAGAGAATACGAATCGACCTAGCTAGCCATGTACTCTAGGTACAGAGTTATAAATATGAGTACAGAGTACTTTCTCTTATTCAATTCATTCCCAACCGTGCGGCGCGTACAGTTACGAAACGGTTCCCGCCCAATTCCTCCTGACTGCAGCTGTCCGATGCCGTCTGCTCCGACGGTCCAGATCCACCCTAACCGTCGAACGCTTTGAGGCAATTCCGACTCTTCGCATTCGTTCTCGTTACTGCGTGCTTCCTTAGCTGTGGTCAGGAGTGCACAGTTTCATCATTACTATTCGTATCACTACGAACCATCGTACAATGGTTACAGGCCATGTGCATCTTTCAACAAGCTGTCCATGCTGACATCATGCTCCAGAGTTACATCCAAAGCTGCTCAAACAGCCAAGTTGGCCTAGCTGGCTGCCAATGATGGCCAACTAAAAAGCTATATCCTCATTAATGAACAACACACGAGATTGAAAGCACAATAGCTAAGATTTATGCGAAGTGTCAAGGGCTCTCCCACATTTAGACATGAAAATACCTAGAAGGCAAGTAAGCACCAAAGCTTATGAAAAAAACACAAGATCTTGAGTCTCTAAAGAAGAGCACGCAAATCCGCCCTAGTGTGTGTTTCAGGCGTTGGGCTTGGAGGGAGGGCCTTCAACAGACTTGATGAGCTCAGCAGTCTTCTCCTGCACTTGGCTCACCACCGGCCCTGCTGCCTCCTTCACCTTCTCCACCGATTCACCCACTTGGCTCACAACCGGCCCTGCAACGTCCTTCACCTTGTTCACCTGCTCCTCCACTTGCGATACCATAGGCTCGGTAAGCTCCTTCACCTTCTCCACTGCTTGCTCTGCCACAGGCTTGGCGGCTTCCAACGCTGCCTCGGCGACGGGCTTGGCGGCTTCCAGGGCTGCCTCGGCGACAGGCTTGGCAGCGTCAATCGCAGCTTCGGCGTATGGCTTGGCAGTCTCGGCGAATTCCTGGGTGGCCTCCCATGTCTATAGAAAGGAATAGGAGGGGGGAGAGGCGGGACGGGGAGCAGGGGTGTAGGAGAATTTATGGCAGGGCAGAACACTCATAATGTGACATGTCAGCACACACATGGCACAAATCACCACCCACACATTGCACCATCAGCACTGACATCACATGTCACATGTCAGCACACCCATCGCACATGAGCGGCACAGGTGAGGGAGGAGAGGAATACCGCTTCAGCGAAGGGAATGACGACATTGTCTACGATGGCCACCACAAATTCCTTCACCTTCTTGTGTGGTGAGGCGATTTTCAGGTGGAGTAAGAAAATGCGTAGCACACAACAACACACCCATTGCACGTGTGAGAGAGGAGGGGCGTACCGCTTCAGCGAAGGGGATGACGACGTCGTCCACGATGGGCACCACAAAGTCCTTCACCTCCTCCAGACCCTGCTCCCACAGAGACAAAGGGAGGAACCCGAGGGGAGGGGAGTGTGATTGCGAGACTGTGAGATGACTGGATCAGGCAAGGTCCTGCTGCATGGCAGCACATCCCTCTCCTCCAGCTTCTGCTCCACGGGGGCAGGGGGGATGAGAGGTGTGAGTGGACAGTGAGGGTTGAGGTGGGAAGGGGCAAGGGTGAGGGTCGAGGTGCGGGGGGACAGGTGTAAGAGTTGAGGGGCTAGGGGAAAAGGGCGAGGGACGAGGGGCGAGGATGAGTGTTCAGGGGTGAGAGGGTTGAGAGGCAAGACCAGGGAATGGGCCGAAAGGAATAGAAATGGGTGTGGGGCAACGACAGCCGGGGGCTAAACTAAATAGGCGCTACACTAACAAAGGCTCGAGTGGCTTGACCCACTTCTTGCCTACTCTTAGAGCTTCCACCTAACCAGAGGATGCTGCACTGGCATGGGCTGCCTCTCACCTCCTCGATCTCCTTCCACTTCTCATCGGGCAGCACGAAGAGAGCTGCGATGCCACCGCCGAACGCGGCGAGCACGCCGAACTGCGAGACGAAGAGCGGCATGCCGCCACGCTTGCTCTTCTTCGCATCCTGCTGCTTCACCTCCTTCACGGGCGGCGCCGCTGTGCTCGACGGCTTCAGCTCCGGCTGGATGGGGAAAGAGCGAGCGCGGGGGAGGAAGGATGCAGTGGGGTGGGAGGAGTCGGTTAGACTCTAGAGGCGTTGAACATACGAATGACAAAACGTGTCTTCGTAATGGCTAACTAAACCGGTGCCTTGGGTGCACGTAAGGAGGTTTCCAGCCAGCGCTCAGACACTTATTTCATTCGCCGTATGGAGAGAAATTCCGTTCGTAGCAACATAAGAGGCGGTTGTACTGGGTGTGTGAGCCCGCGGAGAGGGGCCTTTGACGCGTCACCCCCGACAACTTTAAACTCGCGAGAAAATGGCGTTCCAGCGGGAAACAAACGAGATACTTTCGATATCGTAGCGGCATCCACGCGGGACAATAATCAGGGTAGTGGTAGGTAGATCAGTTGTCAACCCAATGCCATGCTTCGAATTGCCCATAGAAGCGCGTCAACGTGGCACCTTCATTTCGCTGTCTACCAATCCCACAGTGCACGTTCTGGACTCACAGACCCCTTGCAGACGAATTCACTCAAAATCCCCTCGCGCTCGCAAAAGCTACTGTGCTACTCACCTTAACGAAGAGCCTCTGCGCCTGGATCTTCTCCTCCGCGAATCTCCGCGCGGCCTCCTCCTCCGCCGCCTTCTTCTCCGCCTCCGCGCGCGCCGCAGCGGCGATCGCCTCCTGCTCCTCGCGCTTCTTGCGCAGCAGCTCGCCCAACCGCCGGGCTCGCTCCTCAGGCTGGCGAAAGAAAAAAGGCGAAGGACGAAAGAACACGCAGCTTTTAAGTCGACATCGGAAGGTTCGATACACGCAAACCCGTTTCGTCAGAATGCATAATCTCCTTGGCGCTGATTTTGTTACGACAACAAGGGGCCAGAGAATGATGGCCATGAGTTGAAACGACCGACATTGCGACTCAAAAGAGATTGACAGAGGAAAAGGCGCGACTTTTGTTGTGTGGGGTTTGAATAAAGTGGGGCTGGATGCTTACCGTGTTTAAAGCGGCCTCATCCACAACAGCGACCTCCTGAACAAGCACGGGAATAGGGCAGCACGAGCGAAAATCCGCGTGAGCTCACTGGTTCCAAGAAAAAAAAATGGGCTTCGGCGATTGGAGAGGGGACGCTGACATGATGCAATGGAAACCCGCGTAGCATGGAGGAGGGAGACGGCTGGATCACAGGAATGGCTTGGCGACAGAAAGGGAGCGAACCATGGAACCTAGGAAAATTCCCGGAGGAACGAAGCACCCGTATGGGAGAATGGAGGCGATGCGAGTCTCGTGGCTGACGTACCTCTGCTTGAGCGGCGGCGACGCCACCAGTGAGGAGATAGCTCTGCATTGCGTCAGCTGTCGGCGCAATGCCCATCACGGTCGCGGCTGCCAGAAAGCCGAGAGAGCAAAAACGGAACGAGATTTGTGCGTGTGTCTCGCCGTTCCGGTCCCGACATGCTCCCATCCAGTAGTGAAAAAAGGGGCTCGTGTAGAAAGTGCTGTACAAGTCCTGAAAAAACACACGTTATTGATAGTAACTCACCGAAGATCGCGGAGGACAGAGCGGGAACGACGGCTCTAGCGAGCTGAGCCGCGAAGTTGGGCGTCGCATTCTTATTGTCGCCATCGGCACGGCACGACACGCTCGTCGCAACGGTCTTTCTGGCGGGAGCAGCGACAGAGACGGTCACTGGTCGGCCCTTGAACACCGTCTGATCGGCGAGGGCGAGCCGGGAATCGACGGCTAGAGAAGCGGAGGTGCTGAGAGCCGACATGGTTGCGTGCGGTGCAATGCGATGGACGCAAAGATGAAATCGCTAAAATGAATGGCGGCAATCACGCGACTGCGGCTGTAAGGGAAAGCTCCGAAGTAGCAGAGGATGGAATTCTCAGAGACCAGAGAAATAGGCTCGGCAGTCCCAAGAGACAGCTGCTGGTCAGATCAGGTGCTCAAACCTCCAGCAGCGCGGAGATTCGGGAAATTTTGCGTCACGACATTCCCAACGCTGAACTGGTGGTGCTGGTGATGGGTTGAGCAGTCAGGGGCTCATCTACGGCAATGCTGCGTTTGCGGAGCCAATCTTCAAAGTTCGACGGGCACGATTGCAACGTAAGCAGTAAAAGCTGATAGCTGGTGCCACGCGGAGTGGAGATTGGGCGAGTGGTCCTTCAACCTTGGAAGCTCCCCAGAGAATCTCTCCAGGGTGACTTGGCAGCTTCTGGAATCACTTATGAATCCAACGTGGCAGCAGCCCATACCCTGGCAACCGCGACATGGTGAATTGACATCGGGCTCTCGACAATATTGTGACCTCAACTACACGAGGCATAGCTACTAGAAAGAACCAAGCACAACATCTTCCTAAATACAATAGCCATTAATACATTATCGTCACAACAGACAACATTGTACTACCAACATAGGAAACTAGACTCAGCCAAAAAAGTCGGACTCATCCTTCCACATATTTTGGCGCATTGCTGATGGGGTAGCACCTTCGACTTGATCACATGGAATCACCTGGTGGCCAGAAAAAAAACGGGAGCACAAAGAATGGCAGGCATGTCAGTTCGTGAACACATGCAATGCACCAAAACAAGATGCACGTTCCAGCGCAAAAGGATAGACGGTGCACCAGCCAATCTCCTAAAATGACAGCAATTCACCTGCATCTTGTTCTCACCTCAACTCCTCCCCACCACATTCTCTTGCCACTAGTGCTCCCAACTCCACCATCCAATGATTTTCTGCCTCCACGCCCATCATCGGCCAATCGCCTGCTCCCATGACCATCATCAGCCAACCGCCTGCTACCGTGCCCATCATCGGCCAATCGCCTGCTCCTCGACCCAACCCCAGGTCCCGCTGCTGCAGCAGCATCACCAGCAGCAGGAGAGATCAAACTGCCAAACTTGTCATCAGCCAACCGCCTGCTTCTCGAGCCAGGCCCAACCAGGGAAGGTGTCATTGCTGCAGCAGCGTCACCAGCAGCAGGAGAGATCAAACTGCCAAACCCTTCATCAACCAATCGCCTGCTTCTTGAGCCCAGCCCCGCAAGAGGACTAGCAGCTGCAGCACCAGTAGCAGCACCAGCAGGAGAAGCAGCAGCAGCAGGAGAAGCAGCAGGAGAAGCAGCAGTAACAGCAGCAGAGGGGGAGAACAAGCTACCAAACCCGTCATCAGCCAATCGCCTGCTTCTGGAGCCGAGCCCGGCAAAAGAAGGGCTGGGAGATGCACGGCGGTCAGCAGCATCAACGAAAGTAGGCGCAGAAACCACAGGGGCGGAAAGGGACATGCCGAATTCATCGTCCTGTAGTCGCCGCCCTCTCTGCCGCCCGTCCACCATGGGACCCCTAGGGGTAGGAATTGGTGCTAAGCTTGGGCCTATCACAGCGCTCGGGCCTGCCACACCTGCAGCTGCAGAACCTGCAGCTGTCCCACCCGCGGCTGCCGCACCTACCACTGCCGCACCTGCAGCTGCCGAACCTAAAGCTGCCCTGGCTACGGCTGCCGAACCTAAAGATGCCCCACCTGCAGCCGCCCCACCCTCAGGTGCATTACCAGTAGCAGCACTAGCAGAAGCAGCAGGTGCACTGCTCTCACTCCCACCAGCACCAGGAGCAGCAGCAGACTCAGTAGCAGCGGGCGTCGCAGCAGGTGTTGCAACTTTAGCAGAAGGTGCAGCAACAAGAGCAGAAGGATCTGTAGCAGCAGGTGTAGCAGCAGCTGTAGCGGCAACTGTAGCCGCAACTGTGGCGGCAACTGAAGCAGGAGAGGCAGTTGATTGGGTCTCTAGTGCGATGGGAGGGGTGGCGATGGCATCACTGTCATCCCACAGCCATCTGCCACTAGCCCTGCCCTTGCCATGCAAGGCCCGCCCTTGGGCTTGCCCCGTGCCCCTCTCCCTGCTGCCTGCCGCCTGTGCTGCAGCAGGAGCAGTGACGACAGTGGTTGCAGTAGGCGCAGTGTCGGCAGTGGTTGCGGTGGGTGCGGTGGGTGCAGCACTGGGAGGAAGGAGCACAAAGTCAGCAGTATCGGCAGCAGAAGAGCAAGAGGCAGGTGGAGCAGCAGCAGGGGCAGAAGCAAGGGTAGCCGCAGCATAGGCCAGGTTTTGAGTCGACTCATAAGCAGCAGCAGGGGCAGAATTAGGGACAGAGGGAGGGACAGAGGCAGGGGCAGAAGCGGGGACAGAAGCAGGGGCAGCAGCGGAGGCAGAATCAGGGACACAAGCAGCAGCAGAAGCGGGGGCAGAAGCAGGAGCAGCGGCAGGGGCAGAAGCAGGGGCAGCAGCAGGGGCAGAAGCAGGGGCAGCAGCAGGAATAGAAGCAGGGGCAGCAGCAGGAATAGAAGCAAGGGCAGCAGCAGGAATAGAAGCAGGGGCAGAATTAGGGACAGAAGCAGCGACAGAATTAGGGACAGAAGAAGAGGCAGAATTAGGGACAGAAGCAGCGGCAGAATTAGGGACAGAAGCACGGACAAACGCAAGGGGGGAAGCAGGGGAAGCAGCAGGGGCAGCAGCCGGGGCGCTGGCATCGGCAGGGCGACCATAGGCGGCGCTGCTCCCCACAGGGGTTGTTGGGGGGCGCAGGGCTGGAGAGCGGCGCTGCTGCTGCTGCTGCTGCTGCTGCTGCTGCTGCTGCTGCTGCTGCTGCTGTTGCAGCAGCTGCCTGTGCTGTGGGGCATGGGCACCAATGGGTGGTGTGCGTGGCCTGAGGGACTGCTGAGACGTCTCAGAAGCAACAACGGGTGGCGTGCGGGGCCTCAGCTGAGCCTGAGACGTGTCAGCATGAGCAACGGGTGGGGTGCGGGGCCGGAGAGAGTCTGGGAGGCCAGCAGCGGCCATTACGAAGGCACGAGGAGTCATGGGTAGCCATGACAGCATGCCCCCTCCCGCTCCCCCTGCTGCTGCCGCTGCACCTCCTGCTGCCGCTGCTCCTCCTGCCCCTACTCCTGCTGCTGCTGACAAATCTGGCTCGTGCGCCGGCGAAATACTCAGACCACTAACACGCGGTTTGGCAGTAGCAGCAGCACCAGCAACAGCAGGAGTAGCACCAGTGTCACCTGCGCTATCAACAGCAGCAACGGCAGCCGCAGCAGGGCCGCCAGAGGGACCCATCCCCCACCACCCACTGCCACTCCCGCTGCTGCTCCTAGCGGCCGCCACTCTCACCACCCTATCCTTCCCCTCCTCCGCATCCTTCCCACCCACCACTGGCTTGGCACCAGCCTCGGCCCCAGCCTCGGCAGTAGCTGCGGCAGCAGCTTCGGCGGCGGAGCGGGCGACTGCTAGCTGGCGGCGGTTGACTCGCAGGCGCTGCTGCAGGCTGTGGTGCTGCCGCTCCCTCTCCTGCAGCCGCTGCCTGTAGCTGCTGAGCACCTGAGAGTGGGGGAAGGTGCAGAGGCAGCAGGGGGCATAAGTGGGGGAGAGGGGACAGAGTGGTGCTGCTGCAGGCGGCAGTGCTGCCGCTCCCTCTCTTGCAGCCGCTGCCGACGGGCTCTGAGAGCCTGTGTGTGGGAAAGGCAGCAGGGGGGGCCCTAGGCAGTGCTGTTTGCACTTCATAACATGCCAGACAAAGACAAGGCAGACAGGTGGGCACGACAGGAGCACGGCACACGTGAGGGGCACAGCAGTCTTACCTGCTGTGCCTCCATCAGTCGCTGCTCCCCATCATCCACAGCCTGCTGCAGCATCCCCGCCTCTCCTCCCTCCTCTGCTCCTCCCCTCCCATCCCCACGCTCCTGCAAGTCTCTCAAGAGGAACACCATGGTGTCTCGAACAGCAGCCACCTGCCCTTCCACGTCTAGCACCACCTGCTGCTGCACGCCCACCCGCCTCGCCTCCTGTGCCGCCTCCTCTGCTACCTCCTCAGCCTGCTGCAGCAGCGCCTGCTCCTGCCGCTGCAGCAGCACCACCTGGTGCTCCAAGGCTGCCTGCTGCTGCTGCAGCTGCTGCCTGCGCCTCTCCTGCCACTCATGCCGCTCCTGACGCTCCTGCTGCTGCTGCCATTGCAGCTCCTGCTGTTGCTCCTTCTCCTGCTGCCGCTGCTGCTGCTCGGAGGTAGAGAGCGATTTGGGCAAGGAGTGTTGAGCAGCAGTGGTGGCAGCTGCAGCCGACAGGGTGGCCTCAGGCGCACCCAGTGCTGCTGAAGCGTCTGATTCTACTCCAGTCTCTGCCTCAATCCTCTCTGCCTTCGCCTCCTTACCACCCCCCTCACCCTCCCCACTCACTGCCCCTCCTGCCGACTTTACTTCCTCCGATGCTGCCTCTCCTGTTACTTCCCCTTCCGATTCAGCTGCTGCTTCTCCTGCTGCATCTCCTGATGCCTCTGCTGTTGATCCATCCTTTCGCCCCCCCATGACCTTGCCATCTCCCATCCCCCCCTCCTCTCCCTCTCCCTCTCCCTCTTCCTTTCCCGCTCCCTCCACCGCACCTGCTTCCTCTCCCTCTTCCACCACCACCAGCTCAGGCAGGTCAAGCGGAGCAGCCACTACTGTCACCCCATCCGCCTCCTTCCCCTCCTCCCTCTCTGCAGCAGCAACAGTTGCCGCGGCACCACAACTGTAAGGGGCAAGAGAAGCAGGGGAGAGGCTGGGGCCGAGGGAGGCGAGCGAGGGGGAGTGCGAGAATGAAGGCTTGTGGGAGGGAGCAGCAGTGGAGGAGGAACGGGCGAAAGGGGGCAGGTTCGAGGTAAAAGGGGAAGATTGGGTGAGGGAGGAGAAGGGAGAGGAGTTGGAGAGGGAGGAGTAAGGAGAGGGGTGGGAGACGGAGGAGAAGGGGGAGGGGGAGAGGAGGGAGGAGCTGCGGGTGACTCGGATGATGGGCGAGCGCATGGGCGTGAGTGGCACTGTGAGGAACGTGGACGGGTCTTCTTCATCCTCTGGAATCTCGCTGCTTGCCTTGGACTCAGCCACTGCTGCACTTGTGTTGTTGATTACTAGGACATCTGCAGGACTAGCTGCTGCTGCTGCTGCTGCTGCTGCTGCTGGTGCTGCTGCTGCTGCTGCTGCTGCTGCTGATGATGATGATGCTGATGCTGTTGCTGCAGCAGCGGCTTCAGTTCCAGTTGCTGCATCGTAGGGGGCTTCAGTTTCAGGGGCCGCCTCCTTACCACCATCAGCAGAAGCGGCAGAAGCAACAGCAGAAGAAGCCGCAGCGGCAGCAGAAGCACCAGCAGAAGAAGCAGCAGCGGCAGCAGCAGCAGAATCAGAGGCAGCACTGTCACCAGCAGCACCCACGACCAGGCTCGGCCGTTCCTTCACACCCCCCACGCCTATCTCTTTCACCGCAGCTGCCCGTGCCCGAGCCTCCACCGCCCCAACCAAAACCTTCAGATCGTCCCGAACCTGCGCCAGGTCCCTAGGCGTGTGCCCCGTGGTGGTAGACATACCACCTCCCCCAGTCCCACCTCCCTCACCCCCCACGCCCTTCCCTCCCCCGCCCGCCCCCTGCCGCCTCACCGGCTCCACCCCCTGCTGCCGCATAAACAGCCGAATCTCGCCGAACACAGACGAGAGATGCCGCTCCACCTCCCACTCGCGCATCTCAGCCTCAGCTCGTGCCGTGGCGGAGAGAACAGCCTCGGCGGCGGCAGCAGCGTCTTCGCTGCGCTCCACAGCCCGCTGGGCCAGCTGTAGCAACACATGGATGAACGCCGCCTGGTGCCGCCACACCTCCTGCTGCCCCTGCTGCTGCTGCCCCTGCTGCTGCCCCTGTTGCGTCTGCTGCCTGTGTTTCTGTCCCTGCAGCTGTGCTTTACCATGCCTGTCTTGCGGTGAGTCCCTCCCCGGCCGAGGACTCAAAGGGCTCGGACCCGCCCCTGCCTTGCCGCTGCTTCTCGGGCTGCTGAATCCGCTGCCCCCGGCTCGACCCCCCCTGGGGCTGCTGAAACTGCCGTTGGGACTCGCCCGCTCACCGCCCTCTGCTGCCCTCTCCTCGCCCGTCAGAACTATGCCAAACGGCCTGCGAACCACAACACCTAGCTGCCTCGGGACCTCCTTCGCCTCTGAGCCGGAACCAGCAGCAGCTGCAGCAGTGGCAGTGGCAGCAGCAGCAGCAGGAGCAGCCTGACCGGCCAGCCCACCTGTAAGCCAGCTCAGCATGCCACTCATCCCCCCACTCCCCCCACTCCCTCCACGCGCTCCCCCACCCGGACTGCCAGAGCCAGCCAAGGCCGCCCGTGCGGCTTGCGCAGTGGCGGCAGCAGCCGCCGCCCGGGCGGCAGCCAGCTCGTCGGCCAGCTCGCTTGCTCCCATCTGCTCCAGCAGGGCGGCGCGCATTGACTTGCCGCCTGTCGGCTTGCCATGCTGGTTACCACTAGTGGCAGCAGTGCCACCAGCAGCAGCAGCGGCGGTAGCAGCATTACTGGCAGTGGTAACACCAGTGGCAGTGATGCTGCCTGTGCTGCTATCCGTGTTGACTGCTGCAGCATCACCCGTGGTGGCGGCGTGTGTGTCAGGGGAATGTGCAGTGGCGGTTGACGGGAGAGAGGAAGAGGCGGGGTCGGCGAAACCAACAAGACGCGGGCCGGAGGGGCGGGCGGGGCGAGAGAGGGAGGCGTGAGAGGTGGCGGGGAGAGAGGATTCGGAGGAGGGCATAGCAGAGGAGATATTCTGTGAAGCATCAGGAGCAGATGGGGTGGTTGCTTCAGATGGACCCGCACCGGCAGAAGGAGAGAGGGCAACTGCAGCTGGAGCAGAAGCCACAGTAGTAACAGCAGAAACTGCCGCCGCCGCAGCAGCAGAAACGGCAGAAGGAGCAGCAGCAGAAGCAGAAGCAGGAGGCGGGGGAGGAAGGTTCGAAGCGGGAGGGAGAACGCCAGGGCTGGCAGCAGGAGAGGCGCCCACCGCCCTGGCTCTAGCAGCAGCGAGCGTCCCTGTTCCTGCAAATGCAGCTGCCACCGCAGCCGCCGCCGTTGCACTGAACGACCCTGACCGAGAGATCCGGTGCCCCTGCTTCCCAACCTGCCCGGGCTGCCCGGGAGCGCGGGAGGGGCAGGAGGAGGGCGTGGGGGCGGGCGAGATGGCTGCTGCTTCGAGGCGGCGCTTGATCTCGGGGAGCTTCGTACCCAGGAAGTCTGACTCCTCTGGGTTGTCGGAGAGCATGGCAGGGTCGAGCGCCCCTTGCTGCTGCTGCTGCTGCTGCTGCTGCAGGAACTTGAAGGAGGAGCCGCTGGGAATGCGCCTGTGAAACGCTGACACGTCGGATTGGCCTCTCCTGAGGTACGGCCCTGCTCCTGCTGCCGCCGCAGCCGCTACCATTGCTGCTGGCTCCAGCCCTCTAGGGGGAGACACAACCGCATGCCCCAACTCATTCGTGACCTGGTAATCAGCAGCTGTTAGGGCGTTCTCCCCAACAACACCAGCAACACCAGCAGCACCGGCACTGTTGAGCTGCCTCTCCATCTGCACGAGCGCTCTCACAGCCTCCTGGCGGCGCTGCCACTCCTGCTCCGCCACCATGCCCGCCTCCGCTGCTATCTCCTGCTCCCTCAGCAACTCATTCACCAGCTCTTCTAACTCCAGCTCCAGCCCTTGCTTCTCCCCTTCTAGCTCCACCACTCGCCTGCTCAGCACACAAGGGGGAGGAGGGAATAAAGAGGAGGGGAAGAGGGAGGGAAGTGGCGACAGTCAAGGAAAAGAGGGAGCTTCAGAGCGATTCCACCTCCGCCTGCCTGCCACCATGCCTACCTACCTCCTCTCTCCATCTCATGTCATATCACTCATCTGATTAATGCTGTCCTCTCGATCTGCCTCAGCTTCTCGAATCAAAAGTCACCTCAAATCACTCACCTGATGGTGTCCTCTCGAGTCTGCCTCAGATCGCTGATCTCAGCATCTGCCGCCCGCTTTGCCGCCCGCAGGCTCTTCAGCTCGCCCACCGCCACCTCCAGCTTGTGCTGCAGCAGTGCCACGTCAGCAGGCAGCTGCGAGACCGCCACGTCAGCAGAGCCCACACCAGCAGGGACAACACCAACCGTCTCCCTCTCACCATGTCCTCTCTCTCCCAAACTAGCCGTTGATTCTTCCTGTGCTGCTGTCGCCCCGCCCTTGCCCTTGCCCTTGTCCTCCCCCTCCCCCTCCCCCTCCCCCTCTGCCATGCATGCATCTCCCTCAGACCCTGCCATCACAGCTTTCAGCCTTTCTTCTAGCTCTCTGATCCTCCCCTCTCTCCGCCCCACCTCCTCCTGCATCACCTCCTCCCACTTCCTCTCCATCTCCCTCCTCTCCTCCTCCCACTCGCCCCTCTCCCCCTCCTTCCTCGCCTTCTCCCTCTCCCCTCGGCTCTTCTCCTCCTGAGACCCCTGCTCAAGCCTCCCCTCCATCTCCCTCGCTTGCGATTCCGCCGCTTCTGCTCTCCCTTCCGCTTCCCCCACTCTCTGCTCCAACTCAGCCCTCCTCCTGCCTTCCTCACTCACAGTCCCCTCTGCTTCACGCACCTTCTCTTCCAACTCAACCACTTTCTGTTCCAATTTTACCACTCTTTGTTCAGCTGCAACCGCCCGTGCCTCTGCCTCTGCAGCCCTCTCCTCTGCCTCTCGCCTCGCCCTCTCCGCCTCTCCCTTTTCCTGCTCCATCTGAGACGCCCATTTCTCCCCCTCCTCTCGCTCCCTCATTGCCCTCTCTGCCCGCTCAATTGCTTCCACCAGAGCTGCCTCTGCAGCTCGCACCTGCTCCTCAAGCTCCTTCACACGGACCTCTAGACCCACCTCCCTCTCCCTCCTCTCGCTCCTCTCCTCCTCCCCCGCGCCTCCCACACCCCCTTCCGCCTCCCCTGCTGCAGCAGCTGCAGACCGGGAGGCCTCAAGACCTGCCTCGGCAGATTCTCTGCGCTTTTGCTCCTCGCCTCGCTGCCTCTCGCCCTCCTCGCACTTCCCCTGCCACTCCACCACTTCTGCTCGTAGTGCCTTTTGGGTTGACTCGAAGGTCCTCTCACCCTCCTCGCACCGGCCCTGCCACCGGGCCAGCTCGGCTCGAAGCGATTCCACCTCCACACGCATCTCCTCTAATGCCTCCTTCTGCACTCGCATGCACACACAAACGCATTCACACACACGCATACTCAGACGCACGCACACATCCACTCGCACATGCGAGCACACGCGCGCCAGGACCATCGTCATTGAGCATTCACCGGGGGAGATCCAGCATTGCGCGCAGAAGCAGCATTGAGCAGGAAGTCAGGTACGCGGAAAGCAGAAGTGGGCGTCAGGGGGATGGCGGCAGGTACTCGGTGGGTAGGGAGGTATGGGGTAGGAGTAGGAGGGAGGGTGGGGAGAGAAGCAGGTACAGACGTAGAGTAGAGGGATAGGAAAACGCATGCAGAGCAGGGAGAGAAGGGGAAACATAGAAAGAGAGAGAAGGAGAGGGGTCAGCGGAGACCTACTCTTGAGGACTTCTTCCCTTCCTTGCCCTCCTTGTGTTCCTTATGCTCTTTATGCTCCTTCCCCTCCTTCCCCTCCTTATGCTCCCTCCCTTCCTTATGCTCCCTCCCCTCCTTGTGCTCTTTGGATTTCTTCCCACTTGACTTGTGAGCGCGCTCCTCCTTCCCCGTGCTCTGTCATCAATCACCGCACGTGGTTGTAATGTACACCAGAAAATATTTGAATCACTTTTGTGCTCTGCAATGCGCACGATGCGAGAGGCAGGAAATAGGCACAGCATAACAGGCAATGGGCTGGGCACCACAGCAGAAGCGCTTGCATCAGCAGCACACCTGAGAAGCGGATGGGGATGGCAGCTGGATTTGTTCCGCCCCTCCCTCCCCAACCCCAGCACCACCAGCACCGGCAGCACCCCCACCAGAAGCAGCCACGGCTGCTGCAGCTCTTGAGCGCCGCTTGGGAGTGGAGGAGGCGGAAGAGGCGGAGGAGGAGGGGGACGAGGGGAGGGCAGGCGCGCTGGCGCCCCCCCCAGTGGCGGAGGAGGGGAGGGCGCAGCTGGAGGAGCGGTTTAGAGGGAGCGCGGAGGGGCTGGCGGGGGAGGCGCGGAGGGTGGCGAGGGGGGAGGACGGCCCTGAGGGGTCCTTGGTGGCCTGGAGGGGCGGGGGATGGGGGAGTGAAGATGGGTGGAGATGGGTGGTGATGAGGGGAGGCGTGGTGGGGGGGAGGACGGCCCTGGGGGGTCCTTGGTGCTCTGGTGGGGGGAGACATGGGGGGATGGGGCGGTGGTGATTAGCTTTGAGGCGTCTCAAAACAACACTTTTATCACGCGGTTGAGGGAGGGCTGAGGGGCTGGCGGGGGGGGGGCACAGAGGGTGGCGAGGGGGGAGGACGGCCCTGAGGGGTCCTTGGTGCTCTGGTGGGGGGAGACATGGGGGGATGAGGGGGTGAGACGGGTGGAGATGGGTGAAGATGGGTGCAAATGGAGAAGGCTTTTTGATGGTGCGTCTTTGTCAGGCCACCACGCATGGGACTTCATAGCACCACCCACCCTCCAACCCTCAAAACCCTCCACCACGTCTCCCCATTATTCTTCCCCTTCGTCATCCTCCTCCCTCCTCCCCCTCTCTTTCCCATCCCCACCCGCTCTCACCCCCAGTAGTACAGTAAGTTTCCTTCGCCCACCCCCCGCCCCCCCTACCAGCACACCTGCTTGTGCGTCTAGAAGCGCGCCATCAGCTCCGACACCTCCCCGCCCCATTCTTCCCCCCTCTACCCCCCTTTCCGCGTTTATTCCCCCATCCCCCCATCCGCGCTACCAGCGCACCTGCTTGTGCCGCTGGAAGCGCGCCATCAGCTCCGATACCTCCCCTCCCCCTTCCGCGGGGGGTTTCCGCCGCCCGCCTGCCGACATGGGGCGGCTCACGCCCTGGTCGCCGTGCGACACGCGGCGACCCTCTCCCTGGTCGCCCTACGACATGTGAGGGGTATGCGGGAAGTGAGGGGTGAGTGAAGCGAGAATGAAACTTAAAGTGACGGTAACGAGTGCGCGTGAGGTGTGGGGTAATCAGTTGACCGCGAAATTGACGTTAACGAGTGCGCATGCCATGCCAGTACATCATTCAGCGGTTCGCTGATGAACGGGCAATTAAGAGCAGGCGGAAATTTAAGGCTGGAAGGGCGCGCGATGGGCACGGAGAGTCAAAGAGTGGAACGAACGTGGCTTCAGAAATAAGTTGTTAATCTCCAAAAAGGTAATTCGAAGGTCGCGGAAGGATAATCCCCGCTGTGGAACTAATTTGAAGAAGTCCACCAAGATACACTTGCGAGTGGTACTGGCTTCTGTGAGCCATTGTCGCGTCGGCGCAAGATACTAATAGAAATTTACGCAGGAAATCGCCTACCATTGGAATTGGCTTCGTCGACGGCGATAACTGCTTTCAAAATGTCCCCATGCCGAAAGTTTACAGCTTATAAATACGAGCTAGTACACATTGGATAATTTGAAGCATCCTATGCTCGTCTTAATGTCCTCTCGTTATAACGTCTTAGCCAAGATAACAGCATGTGTCGCGGGAAAGCAGACTGAAACTCTCAAGCTCGCTAAGAATGCACCACTAGGAAAGTGAAGCCTGTCCGCAATTACGATACTTCGCTCGTTCGCAACTTTTGCTAAACCATTGTATCACTTATACGACGCGCGTGGCTCTAAGCCAACGAACGGAGCGCCAAACGGCGAAATAAGTAGCGGCGCATTTTCTATGGTCACAGACACACAGGAACACACAGCACTATTTGCCTGAGGGATGATGCCCGCCGAATAATTCACTCGGCGATTGTAAGGTACATATGCTGTGCTCTGAAGAGGCTGATGATAATGTCTCAACCCCTTACCAGTGCGGTTCAGTAGGCTTCCACACGGTAAGCAGGCTTTCCTTCTTCTCGCCGCTTTGAACCGATATGCACCATACAAATCAGGACCAAGTTGTGGGAGCAAGTGGGCTGGTGGGTGGGCGGTTGGGCTGTAGAGATTCTCCACAGAAGTCCTTCAGTTTTGTCGACGAATACTGTCTAAAGTGTAGCATTCCAATCTGAGTAGTGATACTGAAAATCAAAATTGACCACATAGATTATGAAATGCTTCAGCTTCACATATATCGGTTTAGAGGTTTATTTTAAATAATAAATTTATAATTATTACAACAGATACTGTATGATATGATGCCTCTATAATTTCCCCATTTACATATCTTTTTTCTTTTACATCCAGCCACAGATGTAATGCAAACGGCTTGAACCGTAACGGTTCTGCTTAGGACGAGTAGGCACTCACTTTTGTAAGGTATGGAGGTTATCGCGACTCGACCCTTGAGTTTTCACCAGCCTCGGGCTCTGTGTCAGCGTAATCGGACGGCCATGCGAACATTCTATCAAAATGCTTTTCATCCAGGGATCCTCTAATTACCGCGCTTCGTTGGTCCATGCAGGCACAATACGTTTTTCCCGCCACTGCTTCCATCACCCTCTCCCTGCCTGACACTCATCAGAATCATCTTCCTGTGCCCCAAACAGTCCACAAGGAATGCTGTTGGCGAGGTCCCTTCTGTTCGGATTTCCATCATATCACACACCCAAGGCCTTTCCGTCTCACCTCTCGGTTTTATACTTTATTGAACGGTTAATCATGGTCCACCTCGGTCGATCCTTCCCATCCAGCCATGGACCAATTTTCAACCATGATTCCCGATTACTTCAAACCTTGCTTTCATCCAAGCCATGTGTGCTGTCGCGTCCTGTCATTCCCGATCTTCGAAGCACGCCTAGTGACTCTCAGCTTGACGGCTTTCCTGTCTTCGAGAAATTCGGCTCTCGAATCCAACGGCGTCGAAACTGTCCCGTCTCGTCGTGCAGGTTAACAAATTTCGCCGGCTTTCGCAAATGCTTGTCTGCTTACTAGTCTGAAATTGGGTCGGACTTCCAGAGACGTTATAGCTTGTCAGCGAGAGTTTGCGATTTCCCCTACAGTCAGCTATGGCGTTCGCTAAGGTCGAGTACGCAATAAGATTTTTACATCGTAGGGATTATTCTTAATGGGGACATTCATTTTACAAGTTCCTTCGTTCTAAAGATCAACGAGCATAATGACCACGTTCGACTAGAAACAACGCTGAAGAAGGCGGAACGAGGGGTGCTACCTTACTTAGGATTATCGCGGTAACATTTCGGGTTCTTATCTTAGGAAGCGACTGCTTTTTAGCTCTAGCTTTAGCTCCTCTCCCGTTGATCTTTCGTGAAGAACCCGATTAGAAAGCGTTTCACTGTCGTTCTTCTGTCGGGGAAAAATCTACCTACGTTTGTTGATTCAAGCGTACAGCGACAAGAACGTTCGAGTTGCTCTGGTTGCAGCGTTTCCAGGATGGTCGGATCGACCTACTCCTCGGAGTCAGGGACCAGGCCCGTGACTCCCCTCAACCTGCGGTCTCAGATGGATGCGGGGTACCATAGCGGGGGAATTACCATCGTAGAGAAGTAAGTGGAGGAGCAACTAGAATACTAGTAGAGTAATGATGTCATGTCTATTTCCCGCCTCCCAACGCTCCAATTTGTTTATTATCTTCTGAAATTCTAAGCTTGCTGTTCCGAAAGTTACCCGGAACCTTGTCCCTGACATGAGTGATTGACCTTTCCAATTTCAGGCATGTCATGAGGGAGCTACCGAATGCACAGAACAGTCAGCTGGAGGCTGCTGCGAGCCAGCTCGAGTCGCCTGATTGCTCTTCTGTCTCAGCTCAAGTGCTCTCAAGGTACGAAATGCATCTTTCTGTCAGATTTAACGTAGATTCGTGCGGTTTAGCTCAGTTACTCGTCCTGCAGCCTTTCCACAGCATCCTATCTGCCTTTAATGCCGGCCGTACACTTCCTTCCCTAGCGTGAGAAATGATTGCTTATTCCCTTGTCGCATCGGTTGGCTGTAGGCGGCAACCTCGCAACCGTTCCCATGAGCGAGCTGTACCACGACGGGGCTCTTTCTTCTGGCCGCTTCACCCCCCGCTGGGTCTTCTCATCAATTCATTCTCCCCCGTCTGTTCGTCTGTCCGCTTTGCCCACCTGTTGCTCTCTCATGCAGGCCGGCCGCTGGCAGCAGCCTTACGAGCTTTCCAATCAGCGAGCTGTACCACGTGGAGCACTACCTCAAGGCGGTGCAGCGACAGTCCGTCGCAGCCCGTCGCAGCCTGCTGGGCCGGCGACAACATGCGACTCCTGGCGCGCACGACGGCTCCGACCGAGCGATTTTCGAAGACATGCTGAGCTTTCAAAGGGTAGGATGAAGGGGTTCGTGGGCGATAACATAGGAACCGTACCGACAAAGATGCTTCACGAAAGCTTCTCTCAAAATCTCGTTCCGGGTATGAGTAATGATCTAGTCCCGTGCGCTTTCAACGAAATCCTCTGTGTACCCTTTTGTGCCTCCCGCTGGTGCCGTTCCTGCAGGATCCCATCCCGACCTCGCTCACGCGGCTCCCCACGGACCTGCAGACAAAAGCCGTGCGAATGTTCCAAGACATTCTGCACTACATGGGGCTCAACGGCGCGCCGATCACAGACGAACGCGAGCTGGCGCAGACGCTGGTGCGAATCCTCAAAATGGTTCTTCGAAAGCCAGAGATGCGGGAGGAGTTATACGCGCAGCTGCACAAGCAGACGCGGAATAATCACGACAGGGAGGCGTGTTTGCGGGCGTGGGAGGTGATGCATTTGTGCGCGTCGGTGGCGCCGCCTGGGGCGTATCTCGGGACGCCTATTACCGAGTATGTGCATGAGATCGCGAACGATGCGGGGGTGGACGAGGAGGTGAAGTCGCAGGCGCTCGCCACGTGGCACGCGCTGAAGAAGGCGATGAAGATCGGCGCGAGGAAGACGATCCCGACCGTCGATGAGCTGCTGGCGCTGATGACGGGCCGTGCGCTCAAGACGATGGTGTTCTTTCTGGATGATACGTTCGAGGAGGTCGGGTACGACGCGTCCACGACCGCCGCGGAGATTCTGGAGGTGCGCATGGGACTGTAGAGGCGTTGGACTGTAGCGCGAGAAGAGTTGTCCCTCTGGTTTTGAGACGCGTCTGCGTTTGAGATGCTTCTGTTTCTGAGCCACTTTGAAGGACGCTGAGCACCAGGTTTCTTTGTGGGTCTCTCTGCTTTTCATTAAACAGCAAAACATATTTGTGCGACCATGTGACTGTTATGTCTCTGTGCAGAGAGTTGCAACCAGCATTCGCCTGGAGGAGTTCCAGACCTTCGGGCTATACGAGCACAGAAAATACATCACTCTCGCCAACAACAATTCAGAGAACGTTTCCAGTGAGTTACAAAAGAAGTCGTGACCAGTGAGTCCTAGCCTCCTAGAGTCCTAGAGACACAGGTACGGGACATGGGCAGAGTTGATTCAGATTTGGTTTAAACTTGATTCAGACTCGATCCAGAGCAGTAAGTTCCTTTGTCTGTTCCGTGCGTACTGTGAGTCGGTCCAGACAGTAAGTGATTGAATGACGCACTTGTATACAGCCTTGCTTGTAATGCCTCATATTGACATTATTAATTTCTTTCATTGAGCAGACGACTATATGGGGATCGACGAGAAAGCCTACATAGGGGACGTGATGGCGGAGCTCATGAGTTTCAGAGAGAAGAGCGAGCGGCAAGTGCAGCTGCGCCTCCTCTTTCGCAAGAAGTTCTTTAGGGAGAACGAGGAGGCGATCACAGACCAAGTGTTCGTGCAGCTGTCGTATCTGCAGGCGAAGCAGGACTATGAGGAGGGGAATTACCCCGTGCCCAGGGATGACGTGGCGCAGCTGGCGGCGCTGCAGTTGATTGTGGACTTCGGCTTGCTTCCTGAGCCTGAGGTCACACTGTGAGTTCGTTTGCATGGGGTGCATGGGGAGGTTGTGTTGGGAAGATCCTTTTTCTGCTGAGAAAGTCTTTTTAGGAACAGGGGCTATTTTCACGTGACATTGTGGCCTTGATTAGAAGTTGTGGACCTTAGATCTTCAATGCTCATACGCCTTCCTCCCTCCCTTCCTCCCTCCCTCCCTCCCTCCCTCCCTCCCTCCCTCCCTCCCTCCCTCCCTCCCTCCCTCCCTCCCTCCATTCCTCCCTCCCTCCCTCCCTCCCTCCCTCTCTCCCTCCCTCTCTCCGTTCCTCCGTCCCTCTCTGCCTCCCTCCTCCCCTTCCTCCCTCGTTTCCTCCTTCAATCCCCCCAAATCCATCTTCTTCCAGCGACTGGCAAGCGCAGGTGGAGCGGACTATCCCAGTGCAGTTCCAGCCCATGAGGCAGAAGCGCGAGTGGGACATGGACGTCCTCACTCGCTACAAGGCTCTGGTAAGCCGGCTCTTCGTTCAATGCGCCTGGAAGCCCCGCCCTCCTATTGCTTGACGCACACTTGCTTTGAGTGTCTCACATCGTCGACCACCGCTCGCCCATGTGCTGCCTCTGCGCAATTTCTCTACCACACCAGCTGATATTGATTCAGAGCCCTCGGGGTTCTGAACAGGGGACACTAATAGGCACGATTTTCAACGCCTTGGTTTAGGAGCCTCGAGTAGAGAGACACATCTCACTCACTCTATCTGCTATTGCCTTGTTCCTCCACTTTTACACGATTCTGCCAGCCAGCCACACCTGACACTTGCAGATAGGAGGCAGCGGATATTGAGGATAATTTGAACATTGAATCGAGGGGCATGATGCAGCTTTTGTTATGACACGTCTACTTATTCTACTGCCTTCTTGCTTTGTTATCTCGTCCCTTTCAACTCTATCCTGTGTTGCAGTCGCACCTAACGCCTGAAGATGCGAGGCAGCAGACGTTGAGAATCATCCGAGCTCTCCCCTATGGCGGGTCTGCATTCTACCATGTGAGGCGCATCGAAGACCCGATCGGGCTGCTCCCCGGGCGAGTGCTTATTGGCATCAACAAGCGCGGGGTAAGATGCCCCACTCTGCCCTGATGTGGGTCTGATTTCCGGTTCACATATTTTCCTCTCTGTTAGGCTGTTCGGCATATGTGAGGCGCTGTTAGGATTCTTTAAGTGATTCTTTCAGTGCGTCTCACACGAGTAGAGGCATTGCTGTCCTTCTCCCTCCCTTCCCGAACCTCCCACACACACTCTCCCTCCCTCCGCAGGTCCACTTTTTCAGGCCCTTCTCGAAAGAGTACCTTCATTCAGCGGAGCTGCGGGACATCATGCAGTTTGGCAGCAGCCCTGCAGCGGTGTTCTTCAAGATGCGCGTGGTGGGCTTGCTGCATGTCTTCCAGTTCGAGATGTCCAAGGGCGAGAGGAGATCTGCCTCTCTCTGGCTGGCTTAGGCCTTTCTTCAGCACAGAAGTCCTGCCCCCTCCCTTTCCGAACCTCCCACACCCACCCCCTCCTCCCCACTACAGGTCCACTTCTTCAGACCTGTCCCGAAAGAGTACCTGCATTCAGCAGAGCTGCGGGACATCATGCAGTTTGGCAGCAGCCCCGCCGCGGTCTTCTTCAAGATGCGTGTGGTGGGCTCGCTGCACGTCTTCCAGTTCGAGACAACACAGGGGGAGGAGATCTGCCTCGCCATCCAGACGCACATCAACGATGCCTTGACCCGTCGCTTCGCCAGGCAAAGAGCGCGCCAGCACAACGCGCCGATGCTTGGGTTGGGGCCTGCTGGGGGTGGTGGGGCGGCTGGGGAAGGGATTTCGGCGGGTGGAGGAGGAGGAGGAGGGGTGTTGGGGGAGGGGCAGGGGCAGGGGCCGCACCCGATTACGGAGTATGAGCATCGGACGAAGGAGCTTTCAGAGAGCTTGACCAGGGCATTTATGCACATTGAACAGGTAGAGAGACCTGTCTGTCTGCCTTGTTGCGTCTCTTCCAGCATTTTCCCCTAGCAGCTGCCTCTCTCCATGCTTTTCGCCAGCAGCTTTAGCGTAACCGCATGTTTTACTTTTTTCCCTTTAACGAGCCAGGAATAAACTTCATCTTGCCCATATGCACGCTTCTATTCTCCTCTCCCATGTGTCTTGATTCGTCATATTTTGTCTTTCGGTTCTTGTTGCAGTTTCTACTATCGGCAGGATAGAGGTCCATTGCATTTCATTGGACGCTCGTCTTATCCCTTGTGTGTCCCGTTTGCCTTGGTTTACCTGTTCCCGCCATTATCCTTCAACCCCCAGTTGAACCAAGAAGTGGCAGCGCGGGCAGCAGCAGAGGCGAAGTTGCAGAGCGAGCTGCAGGCAGTAAGGGAGGCGCTGAGGCAGGGCGAGGTAGCGAACGAGGAGGTGGTGGAGGAGAGAGATAGGTTGGCCGAGATGCTGCAGGTGAGAGGGCGGGGGATTGAGGGGATGCGGGATGTGGGATGCGGGCTGTGGCATGAGGAGTACTTGATGCTGGTTGTGGGATGGGGAGTGTGGGATGATGGGATATTGAGGCGCCGGTGAGGAAGGCCTTGAGGCAGGAAAGGTGGCAAACAGGGCGTGCACAGACGGCGAATTAGCCTGGTAAGGAGCTGCATATATTCCAGGGTCCTTCACCCATGGAAGTGTTTTAAAGAAGCGGACCTTCGCCTCTAGTGTGTACTAGTCCAATTTTATAGAACTGACACAAATACTTCTCACCTGCTGCGTGCTTCTCTCCCTCCACCTCCTCATACCCACAGATGGCGAATCAGCCGGGCAGGGAAGCAGCGCTGTCGTCTGGGTCAATAACACCAGGGAACGTGAGGCGGAGGGACGGGCTTGGCAGCACAGGCAGCAACATGAGTCTGCTGAATGACGCCAGGACACGAGCATTGGAGTCTCAGGTGAGTGCGTGGTTAGATTTAGGGACAAGCGCAGCGTGCGAGCCAAGGATCAGCCTCAGTGATGCTGCATTGCAACGCCCCTCTTCTCCCGTCTTGGCTGGCTGCATTCTCATGCTTTTCCCTGACCAACAATGTTGCTTAGCTGAAAACAGGTGGAGTAGAAGGTCGGGCGGGTTGGAAAAACAGGAAGGCAGGCGACGTTTCAACATCACACACCGTTCATTTCCTTCTCTCTGTTTGCCTTTGTCTTGCATGCTGTGTGTTGCCAGCTGAAGGAGGTGCAGGAGGAGTTGAAGGCTGTGAGCAGGAGGGCGGAGGAGCAGGCGCAGGCAGCTGCGAGGGAGAAGCAGGCGTTGGAGAAGCAGCTGGCAAATCTGGAGCTCACAAAGGACAACGAGGTGAGGATCTGTGGTTTTGGAAGCTCTCCTTGTGCCCCTCCTCTCGCTCGTCTGTTCTTTTCCTACTTTCCATGTGAATGCGCCACCCTGTTTACTTGTATCAGTTGGTCACTGAAGATGCCCTTCACTGATTCTCACTTGACCCTTTCTCACTTTCTCACTTGCTCCTCCCTCCGGCCTTTCTTTCTTCTTGCCTTCTTCATCTAATACTCCCGCCTTGCTGCTTTTTTGCCCGCCAGATCAAGGCCTTGGATCTGCGGTCGTCAGCAGAGAGGGATGAGCTGGCCGCCAGGCTGGCGATTGCGGAGCAGCGATTGGAGGAGAGCCGGGCGGCGGAGGCGCAGTTGCGGGAGGAGGTGAAGGAGAAGGAGGCACAGTCGGAGCACCTGGAGGAGTTCTTTAAGGAGTTAGATGAACTGAGAGAGATGAAGGAGGTGAGTTTTTTTGTGTGTAGGTTAAAACCATGCTGTGTGTATGCTATTGTGTGTGTAGTTTTTTTTCCTGCTATTGTACCTTTTCATGAAGAATGGTCTTTGTGTCTATTCCCGTTACTGTGTTGCAGGAGATGGAGAGGAATCGGGTGGAGAATCTGGAGGTGATACAGCGGCAGGGCAAGCAAATAGCGGAGCTGGAGAAGGCTTATAAGGAGGAGATCGTGCTGCGGAAGAGATACTACAACATGATGGAGGGTGAGTGGGGTGGGGCATGGGATGGGAGTGAGCGCTGGGGCCTAGAATTCAAAAAGTGCATGCGTGGAAGGGCGTATAAGGAGGAGATCTTGCTGCGGAAGCGCTACTACAACATGATGGGGGGTGAGTTAGTAAGAGTGGTGTGTGGCTGTGCTGGGGCTCACATGATGGAGGGTGAGCGGGATTAGAGTGAGCTGGGCGTGGGTCGATGCTTGTTGATGCCCTGAACCCCTCCGCCTCCCTTTCCCCGTCCCGTCCCTTCCATGCATCCGCCCCACCGTATCCCAATCCCGCTTTTCCCACCCCTCCCGCTTGTCCTCCCCTCTCCAGCCCACACCTAGAAATTTGTGGCAAAATCCGTATGTGTGTGCGGTGGCGGCCATTGCGCTGCAGGGAGCGACATTTAGGAGTATATTGTGCCCTGAACCGCTTTCCAGTTCCTCTTCTGGGGCGAGGGGCAGCGCATGGTGGAGGAGGTGACAGCTCACGCTACAACAACCCTGGAAAGGGCCTGTTCACCCCTTCCCCTTCACAGTCTTATGATGCTGTCAACTCCTCCCCCCTTCCTCCTCCCTCATCCCCATACCTTATCTGCATCCCCCTCTCCCAACCCTATCCCCATCCCTTTCCGCGCCCTCCTTCCTTTCCCCCCCTCGTCTCCCTTGCGCATGCGCAGACATGAAGGGCAAGATCCGGGTGTATGCGCGGTGGCGGCCGCTGAGTGGCAGGGAGCGGGGCGAGGGGCAGCGCATGGTGCTGGAGATGCCGGACGAGTTCACGCTGCAGCACCCCTGGAAGGACCCGCTCAGACCTGGCCAGCCCAAGGCGTATCAGTTTGACCGGGTCTTCGACCACACCGCCACTCAAGAGGCCGTCTTTGAAGACACACGGGTAAGAGGGCTGCTGAGTTGATTCAATTAGCACTAAGGGATGGCAGTAGAGGGATCTGAGGCGCATTCGCCAGGGGGTTTGGTGTTACGGCCATGCAAGAGCGCATGGTGCTGGAGATGCCAGATGAGTTCACGCTGCAGCACCCCTGGAAGGACCCACTCAGACCTGGCCAGCCCAAGGAGTACCAGTTTGACCGGGTCTTCGACCACACCGCCACTCAAAAGGCCGTTTTTAAGACACTCAGGTAAGAGGATTTGAACAATATGTGCATCTTGTTTCCACTTCGCTGCTGCTGCATCCTCCGTCCTCCTCCTCCTTTCTCCCCCCCCACCCCCCACACCTCATTCCCCCACTTCAGTACCTGATCTATTCGACCATTGACGGGTACAGTGTGGGCATTTTCCTATCAACGCACCCGTCCCATTCTCACCCTCTTTTTCTGCCCCCTGCCTTGTGCCCTTTATGCTCTCCCCCCATGCAGTACCTCATCCAGTCAGCCATTGACGGCTACAACGTGTGCATATTCGCGTACGGGCAGACGGGCAGCGGGAAAACTTTCACCATCTACGGAGGGGACAACAACCCCGGGCTCACGCCGCGCGCCATGCAGGAGCTGTTCAACTGCCTCCGGAAGGAGGCTGGGCGCATGAGCTACAAGCTGCAGGTGGGGAGGGCTGTTTGCTTGCGTGGTTGGTAGAGGTGTGACGGGGTGTCAGAGAGAGGAGCAGGAGGGGGATGAAGGGGGTCACAACCTGGGCCTCACGCCGCGCGCCGTGCAGGTTCTGTTCAACTGCGTCCGGAAGGAGGCTGGGCGCATGAGCTACAAGCTGCAGGTGGGTTGCCCTTCTGGGGTTAGAGTTAGCAGAGGAAGGGAGCAGGAGGGGGGTGAATGGGGGCACAATTCGGGGCTCACCCCGCGCGCCATGCAGGAGCTCTTTAACTGCCTTAGGAAGGAGGCCGGGCGGATGAGCTTCAAGCTGGAGGTGGGAAGGGCGGTTTTCTTGCGTCGCGGATGTTTGCTCCTCGTTTTCTCCGCTTCTGTTCTGCCTGTATTGCTCTCTTCGTTTTATCCCTCTTCTGTTCTGCCTGTATTGCTCTCTTCGTTTTATCCCTCTTCTGTTCTGTCCTGTATTGCTCTTCGTTTCTCCCTCTTCTGTTCTGCCCTGTATTGCTCTTCGTTTCTCCCTCTTCTGTTCTGCCCTGTATTGCTCTTCGTTTCTCCCTCTTCTGTTCTGCCCTGTATTGCTCTTCGTTTCTCCCTCTTCTGTTCTGCCCTGTATTGCTCTTCGTTTCTCCCTCTTCTGTTCTGCCCTGTATTGCTCTTCGTTTCTCCCTCTTCTGTTCTGCCCTGTATTGCTCTTCGTTTCTCCCTCTTCTGTTCTGCCCTGTATTGCTCTTCGTTTCTCCCTCTTCTGTTCTGCCCTGTATTGCTCTTCGTTTCTCCCTCTTCTGTTCTGCCCTGTATTGCTCTTCGTTTCTCCCTCTTCTGTTCTGCCCTGTATTGCTCTTCGTTCTCCTCTTCTGTTCTGCCCTGTATTGCTCTTCGTTTCTCCCTCTTCTGTTCTGCCCTGTATTGCTCTTTGTTTCTCCCTCTTCTGTTCTGCCCTGTATTGCTCTTCGTTTTCCCCTACTCTATCAGGACCTGCTGCTGCTCAGTGTGAATGGCAACCCACTCACTCTCGCTCACTCATCCGGGCCAACCTTTCCCATTCCAGGTGTACATGCTGGAGCTCTATCAGGACACGCTGCAGGATCTCCTGCTGCCAAAGAGTGCCACCAAGAGGAAGCTGGAGATCAAGAAGGATGCCAAGGTACGAATCATGTAGCATGTGCCTTGTGCCTGTAGCATGGAACATATGACTGTAGCATGTATCATATCATGTAGCATGTGGCTGTGTCATACTGGGTTCGCATTTGCAATGATATATCCCTGTATCCATGTGTTATACTTGTTCCCCCCTCCTCAGGGCATGGTCGTTGTGGAGAATGCGACTCTCATCGAGGTGCAGTACCTGTCCCAGCTGGAGGCGGTGGTGCAGGGGGGCATGGAGAGGAGGGCAGTGGCCGGCACGCAGATGAACGCCGAGAGCTCTCGGTCGCACCTGGTGCTGTCGATCGTGATTGAGACGACCGACCTGCAGACGCAGAACGTGTGCCGCGGAAAGGTGAGAGTGTGGGAGTGTCTGTGTGTGAGTGTGGGGGCGTGTATGTGTGTGTTTTTCTTCTTTTGTGTAACTCGATTTGCTGATACCCCCCCTAACTTGCCACCCCGAGTTACCCCTTTTACCCGATTGTTCTCCTCATCCAGAATTCCCGCCTTTCAGATGAGCCTTGTGCGCCTGGTGGGGTCGAGGGTAGTCGCTGTCAGAGGGCGAGTAGCCGAAGGAAGCCCAGTGCATCAACAAGTCGCACTCTGCTCCTCATCTCTCCTGAATCCAAAAGATGAAGACCAGAGTGCGACTTGTTGATGGAAAACTGTGCATCAACGACTTGCTGCCTCTCCCTCTTTCTTCTCCTTTTCCCTATTCCCTTCCCCCTCTCTCCACTGCCCCCGCTCCCTTTCCTTCCCTCCCCCATTTTCCCATTCTCCCCTCTCCCTTTCTTTCTTTCCTTCCACTCTCTCCACCCCCCCTCACCTCCAGCTGAGTTTTGTGGACCTGGCGGGATCAGAGCGGGTCAAGAAGTCACGCTCCGAGGGAGAGCAGCTCAGAGAAGCGCAATCCATCAACAAGTCCCTGTCGGCTCTGGGGGACGTGATCAGTGCGCTGGCGCAGGGCGGCGGGCACATCCCGTACCGCAACCACAAGCTCACGATGCTCATGAGCGACTCGCTGGGCGGCAACGCCAAGACGCTCATGTTCGTGAATATTTCGCCAGCGGATGGGAACCTCGACGAGACCCACAACTCGCTCACGTGAGTAGTTTGGGGGGGGGAGGGGGGGGGAGGGGAGGGGGGGGGGGGAGGAGGAGTGTGGGGTTTGGTGAGGAGGGCGTGTGCTTGAAAACGCACAACTCGCTCGCGTGAGTGTGGGTTTGGTGACAGTGAGGTGATGTGATGGTACAGGGTGTTTTGAGCCAAGTCGCTCATGTTTGTGGATGCCTCTCCCGCCGATGGAAACCTGGACGAGACTCGCGCAAGGCAGTTGTGAGTCTCGTCTAGGTTCACATCCGTGGGGGAGACGTTCACGAACATGAGCGTCTACCTCCCTCTCTGCCGCCCCCCCCTCCTTGCCTGTGCCACTTGGGTGCAATCAACTGTTAACGAGACGTCGAAGAACCTCTCAGCAGTGGCCCACGAGCAGGGTAGCAACACTCTCTTTCCCTCTCTCCCCTCCGCATCCCTCCCTCTCCTCCCGAACAGCTATGCCACGCGGGTGCGGTCAATCGTCAATGAAGCGTCGAAGAATGTCGCCAACAAGGAGGTGCAGTGGCTCAAGAGCAGGATAGCAACAGGTTCCCTGCTCTCCTCCTTCTTCTCTGCTCCCTCTTCTCCCTGCCTCCCCTCCTCTTCTCTCCCTTTGTTTCGCGCAGCTACGCCACGCGGGTGCGGTCAATCGTCAATGAGGCGTCGAAGAATGTCGCCAACAAGGAGGTGCAGTGGCTCAAGAGCAGGATATCTCACTGGAAGCAGCTGGCCGGGGCGAGGGCCGAGGAGGAGGAGTTAGATGAGGTCAGCGAGATGAGGACGCCGGTCAGGAGGCTGCAGTTTGGCAAGGAAGGGGGGCCAAGTACGGAGTGAGGGTAAGGGGGGCAGGTATGGGGTGGGAAGCAGCTGGCCGGGGCGAGGGGGGAGGAGGAGTTGGATGAGGTGGGAAAGAAGAGGATGCCGGTCAGTGGCAAGGAAGGGGGCCGAGTACGGAGCATACGGGGTATGGTAGTGGTGGTGAGGGTGAGGGTCGGGAAGGCAGGTGCAAGGGGTGGGAAGCAGCTTGCATGGGCGAGGGTAGAGGAGGAGGAGCTGGAGATGTGTGAGTTGATGATGATGCTGGTTGAGTGGGCACTGAAGTCGGTAAGGGGTTATGCTTAGATGAAGCAATGAGGGGGCAAAGGCGCAGTGGAGATAATTGAGTGGAAGAGGGGCAGCGGCACAGCTACCAGGGGAGGAGGGGGCAGTGGAGTAAGGTGGGGCACCCAGGGTGGGACGCAGGAGGGGGAAAGTTGAGGACGAGAAAGCAGGAAGGAGTTGACTACAGACTGAGCCACGGCTGAGTGAGTGAAAGAATGTGTAGCGGTGAGGGTGTGGTGCTGGTTGTGCGTGGCATGTGAACAGCAGCCCTTTCTCCTCTGCTGTCCAGGCAACCTTGCAGCAGCGTTTCTCTGTTTTGTTTACGGTACTTGTGTTGATGCATTTGGGAGGAGAAGTCACCACAAGTGCATTCTTTTAGTACCAGTAGCTGCTGCCTTGAGTAAGCGTTGTTTATGAAGGTTGGCATGTGCTAGTCCCTGGTGTAGAGCCAGAGCATTTTCTGGTAGGATCTCTGCTGTTGCTGTCAGTGCCCTATCCATATTAAAGCTCAGTATGCTAGGTTGTAGTCACACAGAAACCATTGAAATGTACATGATTGCCTCTGCTGTGTATCTAATGATGCACTAACCTCAACACCAAGCTTATTGAGAGATCTCATGGTGAGAAACACATCTGATCTGTTGGAAATCCGAATACAGTATAACGAATACTGTATACCAGTGTGCTGTTTGGTTTTAGTGTAGTCCCCTCTATAAGCCTCCATGATAAGGGGGGGGATTTACTGTTCCCTTTTGAACAGTACTTTCCAACTCACCCTTATCCTTATCCTCCTTGATTTCCTTGTGCCATCTGGCACTCTACTTCTCTTGCTTCTACTTTTGGTCTCTCACGTAGCACTTTCCATCATTAGATCATGCATGCTATATCAAGCTTGCTTGTATTGCCTAAAATCCATCAAATTCTCAATCCGTTTCCAGTGCAAGAGTTCTATCTTGTTCTTTCTACAAACACGTTTCCTCTACGCTGGCACTATGCCTTTCTAGCATGGTATCAGAGCAACTCTAGGGGGCATGCTGCCAAATTTGGTCTATAAAGTTGCTGGAATTCCCTTCGGATAGGTACCTGCAAACGCTCAGAGTACCAGGCACCTAGTATACGCTTTCGTACACGTGGTCTTCACTTCTGAAGTTATCTTGCGCGTGTAGCGCACACCTGGTGTACGGTTTGATCATGGCGCAATTCGATGACGAAGTGGATGCTGGATATGCGGCTTTTGAAGAAGCCATCTTGGCCCAGCATGAGCACCTGGAAAACATGATCTCAAGGGCACCACCAGCACTGCAGGCATCACTGCGAGTCAAGTTCAACATGCCAACAACCGCACACTCGTTGAGCAATCCGTCCACTCATGGACAGTCGCATTCAAGCACTCCTCGTACTAACCAAACGCATGCTTCCAATGTCGTTGCAGGAATTGATGGTGAAGGGGAAATGAGCATACCCCAAGGAGGAGAGTCATCCCAAGGGAGGGATGCATCCGTCCAAGGAGGGGGGAGCGCCAATCCCGCACCTCAATCATCCATGCAAAGAGAAGCGCGGGGGAGGAATGATGAGTATGGGAACGCATTATATGGTGGAATGAGAAGTGGACAGATTGGCCAGCAGAATGACGGAAATGGTCAAGTGGGCGTGGAAGGTGTGGGATTTGCCTCCTACACTATTGGTGCTCCCCCACTACGACGACTTGCGACTAACTCTCATCCCATTGGAGTTCTTCCCATGCCCAGGTCTCACCTTCGTGGCGACAACATCATCCCTCCGCGTGCACATCGTCCACCAATTAGCGCACACTCTGTGGGCAGCATGGGGCGGATGGGGTACGGAATGCAGTCAAGTGGTGTCATGCGACGGGATCAAGTGGAAGTGCTGGAACGTCAACTTGGTGGACAGAATGGAGATATGCGGCGCACGGTACAGCTACCTCGACCGTCAACCATGCCTACTCTCTTCGACCCCGCACCACGTGAATATACGGACGAAGACAAGGAACGACTGTCACGCAAAATGGTGGGAGCAACGGTGGACAAGGCATTCACCACCACTCCGTTTGACGGCTCAAATTTCCGCGAATGGGCACTACGGTTTCGTATGAACGCCCGCGTCACGAATCTGTGGGAGTTCTTTGTGACCCTGCAGTATCCGGTTACCATGGGAGATGGTGACATTGACGACGCTATGGGGCGGCTGGAAATGCTACAGGCGGATTACTCCCAGCGTGCGGCACTCGCCTTTTGGGTCCTATTGCACAGCGTGAGCGCCACGATTCAACTACAGCTAGACATGTTCCAGGAATCCTACAGCCCGGCTTATGAAGCATGGGAGTATTTGATGGACACTTACCAGGCCAAAGATTCGGTGGCGAAGGTCTCTCTCATGAAGCAGTTGGACAACCTGAAAATGGGGAATCAAGAGAGGGTGGAGGAGTATGTGAACCGCGCAACGGCGATTCGGGACAAGTTGGCGTTGGCGGGAAAGATGGTGGATGAGGACACATTCACCTTAAATCTGCTCACCGGACTACCGGCACATTGGGAGGAGATGAGGCACTCGGCAATGCTACACAACGTAACGGACAGCTTCACTTTGCAGCGGATGATGATTCGAGAGCAAAGATATCAAGACCTCATTACCAAGGCGAATCGTGACCGGCGTCCACCTCGCATGGCTGGACAAGCCCGTGGAGATCACTCACCTTCTCCACATGCTACGGGAAACATCGGAAATGATGAGATGGGTTCGGCGTGGTCACCAAAAGAGCGGCATGGGTCAGTTGGGGAGAAAATGCAAGGCAAGAATGGAGGTGCGTGTCGCTCAACTCTCGTGTGTTGGTACTGTAAGGAGCCAGGCCACCCCTTCTACAAGTGCACCAAGGCACCTCCAAATTGGTCACCACCAGGGTGGGAATCTCCTACCCGAGGGAGAACAAACCAACGCAGCAACTACAACCGTTCGTCCTCTCCACGAAGGAGTGGCAGTCCCAAGCATGACCAAAGTGCGTCACAACAACAAGGGGCAGCCGAAGGAGACAACAAACGCACCATTACCTGCATTGCAACGGTGCGATCATCACAAGCAACCTTACCCTCGGCTGGAAGGTCTTTCTGGCTGCTAGACAGCGGATGCAGCCAGCACATGACTTCGGACAAGCGCTGGTTTGAAGAGCTGAAGGAGCTGGCCGACCCTGTGAATGTGGAGCTTGCTGATGGAAGCCAACTGCGCAGCACGATGATGGGAACGGTCAGGGCAACGGCACCGGATGGGATAACAGTTCGCTACACTGACGTTCTCTACGTACCCGGCCTGAAATCCAATCTCCTCTCATACTGCCAACTGTACAAGAAAGGTGCACAGATTCGTACGCGTACTGACGGGCACACAGCGATCACAATGGCGGATGGAGATGAGCATGTGTGCATTGGACTTGGGATCATCATGCATGGGGTACTCATGGTGGAGTATGAGCCTGCACTTACATCCGCCCATGGTCCTGGTCCTTCCCGTGATGATGCATCATCGAAAGCGCATGGTGGTGAAGGGGACACAACTCTCTACACACTGGGAGTGCACTTCGGTACACACGGAAGCTCAGATTTCCGCACACCTGAAATACACTTGAGTGGCCATTCTGCACACGCATCTGTCACATACCGCATGGCACACAAGCGTTTGGGGCATCCGTCATACGCTTCCATGGATGCCACATTTCGGAATGGTGACATTGAAGGGCTTACCATTTCTGACAAAACCAACCCTCTGAAGCCCCCGTGTGACTCTTGCTTGCGAGGAAAAATGACCAAAGCCCCTTTTCCTACAGGAAATGAGAAGCGGTCAAGTCGCCCTTTGGAGCTCGTGCACAGCGACATCATGGACCTGGGTGACGCCCACCCCTCACTTCGCTACGTCCTGACGCTCAAGGATGACTTTACCAACTACTTGTGGGTAGCGCCGCTAGTTCGCCGATCTGACATGCAAGCTGTCTTCACGGCATGGCACCGCGAAATGAAGACTAAGCTGCCTACAAAGCCGCTGGCTACCCTGCGCACGGACAACGGGGGGGAGTATACAGCAAACGCCTTCACAGAATATTTGAGTTCCCACGGCGTCATCCACGAAACGTCGTTACCGCACACCCCTCAGCAGAATGGAGTCGCGGAACGGGTTAACCGCACACTCATGGACAAAGTGCGGACCATGACTACCGGGGCCAGCCTCTCCTCCACCTTCTGGCCGTACGCGCTTGAGTACGCTACATGGTTACACAACCGCATCAGCTGCAGCAGCAACCCATCTGCGCACTCACCGTACTATATGATGACGGGGAAACCTGCGGACGTGTCCATGGCACGAACCTTTGGCTGCCTCTGCTATTACCTTCCTCCACAAGGCAGCTTTGGCAAGTTTGAGCAGAGAGGCCGAGCTGGCATGTTCCTCGGCATCTCCAACGTTCGGAAAGCGTGGATCGTGCGGGACATGGCAAGTGACGTGGACACGGACACTCGGTCTGCTCGCTTCTTTGATGACCTCATGTTGCCGGACGCAGACTCTCTCCTCGAACGTCAACGCTATGTCGATGAAGTCTCACCCCACGTTGCGGAGTGGACTTCAGGGGGAGAAGAAATTGAGCATGAGTTCGATCCTTTTCCGTCCTCCCCATCCTCTTCCGCGTCATCAACCGATATGCCAACTGGACACCAAGTATGCAGTACCCCTGCTGGAGGAATGGACAAGGACTCACCTGCAGCCGACGCAGCTGATTCAAGTGGAGCTGCAACCAATGACATACCTGCGGCAGGTGTTTCTATTTCAGAGAACGGGGACGACCATGGCATGGAGAACGAGACATGTCACCTTTATGACTTTGCCTACCCACCTGAAGGAATTCCACTGACCGAACAAGGTGCACCACAACGACGAGTTCACTTTGATCCAACTGTAACTGTGCTCGGAGAAGAAGGGCAAGCTGCGCACCGCATAACAGGGCTGGACGTGCTACTTGGAAA